GCCCGCCCTTCCCCTCTGACGTGCTCTCCACACTCCCTTCCGAAGCCGTCTCCACGTCCGTGACAGGACAGGACGCTGGCTCACTGGAGTCCTCAAGGGAGACGGGCGCATTCTTCCTTCCTCTCCTCCGGACCGTCGTAAGGAACTCCTCCACCCGCTCGGTCCGCTTGGGCTGCCTCCCGCTGCGCCGCAAGGACAGACCCTGCTGGGGCTGCTGCTCCGGGGCGTCCGCCTCGGCGTCCCCAGCGCCCTCCCGCTTGGCGATGGTGGTTCTTCGGAAGCCCCACGTTTTCCTGAATTCTTTGCTGGTGGGTTTGATGGTCTTGGGCACCTCCTCATTGCTCGGGTCCCCTTTCTCATCCATATCTAACGGTGAAACAAACCAAACCATGAGCAATGTTAATGAGGCAATAGCTCTTGACAAACGACCAACGATCCTAGAGCTGAAAGCACACAGCCTTTAATGTGCACCACGGAAGGAGCACGGACATGGGCGACCCAACAGTGTTCTACCTAGAGTAAAGGTGTCCTTTAAAACGAGTTATCTTTCTAGAAAAAATTTTATATTTTTTACTTATTTTTTCACTTCTTTTTAAAGTAAATTTTTGAGAGAAAGGAAGAGAGAGAGTGCGCACAGGGGATGGGCAGAGAGAGAGGAAAAAGAGAAACCCAAGCAGGCTCTGCCCTGTTGGCACAGAGCCCGATGAGGGGCTCAAACCCATGAACTGAAATCGTGACCTGAGCTGAAATCAAGAATCAGACGCTCAACTGACTGAGCCACCCAGGTACCCCTAACTTTATATTTGACTGAGAGAGTGCACGTGTGAGCAGGCGAAAGGCAGAGGGGGAGAGGGAAGGGGGGAAGGGGAAAAGGGGAGATGGGGAGAGGAGGAGAGAGAGGGGGAAGGTGGAGAGGGGGAGACAGAGAAAGGAGGAAGGGGAGAGGAGGGGGAGGGGAGGGGAGAGAGAGGCGTGAGAGAATTCTAAACAGGCTCCACTGTCAGCGGGCTCAATCCCTTGAACCACGAAATCATGACCGGCGCTGAGATCAAGAGTCAGATGCTTAACCAACTGTGCCACCAGGCGGCCCAAAATGAGTTATCTTGACCAAGGTTTCCTAAATAGGCGGTAATGGGGGATTTGAAGGGACCTGTGAAAGAAATTTTAACAGCTGCACATTTAATGTTTAGTGAAGAACTGCAGCCAGCAAGTCCAGACCGTCCCTTTGCCTCTCAGCCACTCGGCAGTATGGGCAGCGGGCCAGCACATGTGGCACAGGGCGAGAGCAGAGGAGGCCACAGAGCTGGAGGTGCCAGGCCAGCGTTCGGGGGACCCCCTGCCCCCCCAGCACAGCTACAGAACAATGCGCTGGCTCAAGGCCTAGCCACTTCTACCCTGCATTTTGGAGCCTTGAGATGCTATGTAAGACACCCGGCTACCCTGCTAGAGGGAAGGGCATGGAGGGGGTGTGGTGCCCATCCCCGCACCCCAAGCCTGCTGCAAGCCGAGTGTTCCCCTGCCCTGCCACCAGCCCGTGGATACTTTGTGGAGGTGAGGGTTGCACAGATAAGAAGCAACAGATAATTCAGACACTTTAGAGAATGGTGCCCAAGGCAACAGCTTCATGTGTACTTATTTTCTGCTCTTTTTAACTTTCCAGTAGATTATTAAAAGGTCATGCTTGTGAAAATTCTACTCGTTTCAAATAATAAAATCTGGGGGAAAAAAAAGCAGTATATACCTTGAGAAATTTTTTCCAAGCTGCTCAGGCTTCAAACACATTTAAATGCTACCACGGACTCAGATTTTATGCCATGTTCCATTGTAAGGGAAGGACTGCTATGGAATGAAAACCTTCAAAATACAAAATATACAAAATTCAAAACCAAACGCAACCAGATTCTTCACTCCCCACAAGGTGCTTCCCACTTTCCTGTCTAGGACTTGGCCAGCAGACTCCTGGCCAATCAGAAGCTTGTGGGAGTGACTGTGACATCAGCATGCATGCCCTCAAGGACCAGAGCACTTTTCTGGTCACCGAGATTTTGTGCAGGAAGAGCTCTCCTCAACAAAATACAACGTTCACACAACATCAAATCTATGCACTAATGAAGCGCCAATGTAAAGATAAAGGGGTGGGGGCAGCCAATTCTCAGCATGTGGCTGGTCATTTCTATGAACACCTTAGGGCTAAAGTTTACAATATTTCAAACAAATGCAAATGTGACACAGTGTCAGTTTCTTCACATAAAATGCCACCCAGCCTGAAACCTATTAAGTGAAAATGTGTTGCTAACGTTTAGCACTATTAAAACTTTACCTGCCCCAACACTGAAAGCTTGGGACACTTTTTCTGGAGGTCCAAGCACCTGGCGGATGGAATTGCTTGGTCCAAGTAAACTGCTAGGCCTCGAACACTGCTGTTGTCAGTCAAGGTTCACAAGTAACAATGAAGATTATCTCGAGAAAATTCCCCCGGAGTAAGCTCCTAAAATAAAACAGGAAAATAGACGTAAGTGATTAGGAAAAAAAAAACCCAAAAACTCAACTCTCCAAGTAATCAGATTTGTGTGGGATCGTGTGACCACAAAGACACGCTGGGAGTCAAAAAAGGAAGAAGAAACTGTCCTGTTCCTTAAGAACTTTTAACGAAGGGAAAACCCGGTGCTCAGGCCGGCCCCCGAGGGAAGGGCCCAGGGAGGCCGGGAGGAAGCCGCAGGGACAGTGCAGAGGCCTCGACAGGACCAGGACGGAGGTTTCAAAATCAGTCGCTGGTTATCGGCTGCTTTCCAATCACTACCTCACTTCGAGGTGGACCCAGCTCAGTAAACCCAACAAGGAAAGAAACATAAAACACGAAAAACAGCACCAAACCATATGTGAAGAGAAGCACTTAAAAATCTCAACACTATAGCCTCGCCGTCGTCTCAGCGAAAAGGCGCAAGGAAAACTTTAGAAGACTTTTATAGTTACTTCACATGGACGCGCGTGGTTCAGCTTTTCTACGTGAATTTAAAAGCTCACTCCCCCCTATATTCGCCTCTTGCGAAAGGCTGGACCAGCTACAGTGCACCCTGATCCAACAAGCCCCCCCCAAGTCCCGAGGTGACCTCCCCACGCACTTCCCGCTCTACCAGGGGAGCCCCCTCCCTGCGGGGCCATACCTCGGCAGCACCTCCGCACTGTAATTCCGGCCCCTGCTGGTCTCCTTAGTGACCCCACAACAACCAACATTCTGATGCTTCTCTTTTTAAAGAGACAGCGCCTGCTCCCGGCCCCCCCCCCCCCCCCCCCCCCCCCCCCCCCCCCCCCCCCCCCCCCCCCCCCCCCCCCCCCCCCCCCGCAAGGAGCCCAGTCCGCCTGTGTGGCCACCAAATCTCTCAAATGTGATGAATGCATCTCAAATAGAGGCTTTGCTCCTCAGAAAAACTTTACTTCGCTATTTCACAGCACTGAGCGTCTAGAGAAGCAAAGAAATTAAAATGCTCTTAGGAATGAAAATTTTAAATTTACTTCAATCTGAAAAATAAAGATTCCTGGATTTGAGTTCTGAAGAATTAAAAAAGGAAAATCTAGTTATTTCTGTGAGTGGGATGAGATGCAGTATATTCGGATTAGGTCAGAGCATTTTGGATATTCTTGACTTTTTTTTTTTAAATATTTTTATTTATTTCTAGGAGAGAGAGACAGCATGAGCAGGGGAGGGTCAGAGAGACAGGGAGACACAGACTCTGAAACAGGCTCCAGGCCCTGAGCTGGCAGTCAGCACAGAGCCCGACGCGGGGCCCGAACCCACGAACTGCGAGATCATGACCTAAGCGAAAGTCGGACGCTTAACCGACTAAGCCACCCAGGCGCCCCTGGATATTCTTGACTTTGTATTTACCTTTGCAATATTAATTTTGTAAAAATTTCCTCAGCCCAGAAACTCTACTATAAAACTGCAGCCCAGTGAAAGGAGAAGAAACCGTGTTGAGCTTGGACGCGGGTGTAAGAGCACGCCCAGGAGCCCGCAGCCGCAGGGAGATGACCGGAAGTCACCTTTCTTCTGGGCTGCCTGGCGGACCGCCCCCACCATGGTGTGCATGAGCAAACGGCCGGGAAGCAAGAACTGGCAGCTCTCAGAGCCCCTTTATTCTCCTCAAAGCTGAGGGCCCCAAAGAGCTTGTTTCCAACACGAAAAGGGAGAAAGTTGGGGGCCGCTGTAACTGGCTGCCCCTGTGCCATGTGGGGAGTCGCCGGTGTGGACCGGCCAAGCGGGCTTTCGCCGCCTCACTGTCAGGCTCGTGCCGGCAGACACCGGCTTTCCAAAACTGTAATCTGCACTCAAAACCTCCAATTTTAGCACCAGCAGTGACACGGCCGGCTTCCTTCCCCGAGGCTCTGTCATTCACCTGGGGAAATGCCCGCTGCATGCGGGAGTCCAGAGACCAGAGCCTGTCGGTTCTCTCAGGGGCCCGGGCCCTTCTGGGGGGACGGGGGGACTTGCCAGTTCACCGCAGGGGATGTTCGAAGGCTGGGACACCACAGTGGCGAGGCCTCGCCGCCAGCTCGGGGACGCGGACCCCGCTGGGAGGAGCCCCGCATGCCTCATTATCAGAAGGGCCCAGGCATTTCCTCCCACAAAACTGCTCTAAAACCACTAAATTCTCCCTTCAGATTCTCTAACTTTTCAAAATGTTAAGCTGACAGTGGTGATTTCTTTTTTCTTAATGTTTATTTTTGAGAGTGCGCGCCCACGAGTGGGGGAAGGGCAGAGACTCCCAAGCAGGCTCCGAGCTGTCAGCACAGACCCCCGATGTGGGGCTTGAACCTTGAACTGTGAGATCATGACCTGTGCCGCAGTTGGACGGAGCCACCCAGGCACCCCTCCTTTTTTTTTTTAAACAACCCAAATCCAACACCCACCCAAAACGGCAGTGGGCGTCAATGCTGCAGGACCTTCAACCTGGTAAACCCGAGGACTCAACCTCTAGGATGTGCCTACAGAAGGGCCTGCGATGTGCCTGCGGACAGGTCTCTGCTTCTACCAGCCCCACACGGGCTTCCCCGAGGCGCCGCACAGCCACGATGTGGTGCCTGTTTCACAGCAGGGCGACCCCGGGAGACAGCCAGTGCTGCTTCTCAAAGATGACACGGTGTGAGTTGGCCACACCACCCACATCTGGTGGCAAATCGTGCTTGCCCAAACCTCCAACCCCTGAAACAATATTTGAAACAAATGATGTCAATTTTGAAACAATTCTAACCTGCCCGCCAAAAATCATGTCCAATGTTACAAGACGGCCTCGTTGTTTTTGACTCATTAACTGCGAATCTAGAATCCTGACCGCCCACGGTGACAATTGTGTTTGTGTTAAGACTCTTCCCTCTTCAAAACAACCCTTCATTCTCAGGATGAAGGGCTGAAAAGGTGCTAGAGTCCTCCAACTACTAACAAGGAAAGACTTCCCAATTAAACACTCTTTCTCACTCCAGCCTTTCCTAACACGACAGCCCACGGGCAGGAGCCCTGCCCAGGCTGCCAGCACTCCCTCCGCTCGCTGACCCCCATCGCTGACCCTGGAGGTCGGTGGCACCAAACGCCACACCTGCCTTCTGACCACAGACAAAAGAGAGGCTTGGGCCCACAAAGTAAACTAAGAAATCCAATTTTTGTTTATCTGAATGTCTACCCAGAACCTGACTTGACAGTGTTAATTACATTTAAATCCTTTACAGCTAATTTGGAAGTTCTGCTGCTACCAAAAACCATGGTCATTAATAAAATTATCCTGATGGGGGTGCCTGGGTGGCTCAGTCAGTTGAGCAACTCCGCGCATGGTCTTGAGGTTCACGAGTTCTAGCCCAGTATCTGGCTCTCTGTCACTGTGGAGCCCGCTTTGGATCCTCTGCCTGCCGCGCACCTCCCCTGCTCACACTCTCTCAAAAATAAACATTTAAAAATGTAAAAAAGTATGGGCACCTGGGTGGCTCAGTCGGTTAAGCGTCTGACTTCGGCCCAGGTCATGATCTCACGGTTCGTGGGTTCAAGCCCCACACTGGGCTCTGTGCTGACAGCCAGCTCAGAGCCTGGAGCCTGTTTCAGATTCTGTATCTCCCTCTCTCTGACCCTCCCCTGCTCACGCTGTTTCTCTCTCTCCCCCAGAAATAAATAAAAAATAAAACATTAAAAAAAATTATCCTGATGAAGCAAAGGTGTCCACCACACAATAAAAAGTGTATATAGAGAGACATCTAGAAACGACCCTGCTTACAATCTCTTAGTACTGCTTTTACACACGTACGGAGACAAAAAGCAAAAGCAGCTACTTGAAAGCATCTTGGGCACGGAGGCCTGGCCAGGCTCTGGCGCCCAGCCGGGCCTCCAAGTCATCGTGGGCATGCAATGGGCACGGAGTTTCCTCTGTCTAGCTTCTGTTGTGGAACACAGGCTTGTGACCTTGGTGGGCAACTCCACGTGGGTGTTGGCAGCCAGAGCAGCCATGTTAAAGGTACCAAGGTTAAGGGGAAGAAAATGAGGCTTTCACTCTTCTCTAATGCCGTGGACACTGTCCTAAATGGCCACCTTGAATGGGCTTCGGCCATGGTCTGGGGTGTGCACACCCCTGAAAATTCATGTTGAAACTGAGTCCTAAGGTGATGGTTCTCCTAGGAGATGGAAGGTGCTTAGGTCATAAGGTCAGAGCCCACATGAATGGGATCAGTGCCCTTAAGAGGAGCCCCCCAGAAAGCTCTCTGAAAGCTCTGAAGCCCCTGCAACCCTGAAGACCCCTCACCAGCACCTGACCATGCCAGCTAGCACCCTGACCTTGGGCCCCCCATATCTGTGAGAGACGAAGCTGTTTCGTATAAGTGCCCCGGTCCATGGTCTTTTGTTAAAGCAGCCCAAGCAGACTGAGCCAGCTCCCCTCTGGTGTCTCTAAATAAAAACATGGTTTCAAATACCATTAGGGACATCGGAGCCCTACATCCTGGGGGACTGATGCTTTTACAACAAGACCACCGCCTGGCTCTTGGCGATGCTCTGAACACAGGTTCTTGGGCTCATTAGAAAATCTGTCATGGGGGTGCCTGGGTGGCTCAGTCAGTTAGGCGGCCAACTTCAGCTCGGGTCATGATTTCACGGTTTGTGAGTTCAAGCCCCGAGTGGGGCTTGCTGCTGTCAGCAGGGCTTGCCTCAGATCCTTTGTCCCCACCTCTCTGTCCTTCCCCTGCTTGCGTTCTCTCTCAAAAATGAACATTAAAAAAAATAAAAATAAAAAATGTCATGGGACAAGCTTGGTTGCTGCTAAATGTCCAAGAACAACACTGGGATGGGTTCCCAGACAGGAGCGTCCCCTCTCCTTCCTTCTCCAGCAGACAGAAAGAGGGAGAAGCGTGCATGCGCGCGCAGACGGGATGAGGGCACCGTGAGTCACTTCCCTGGGCAGTCTGATGTTCAAGTGCAGCCACCACTGCCGGGCACTTTGGGAATCGTTTCCCCCAAGAGTCTCTAGGTTTTGTAACTGTTAATTAGGAACCCCGACCCTCTGGGGAGGACCCAGACCCCACTGGCCACCCTATTGCTTTTATATCCACAGTGGTCTGTCCGGGTCCCAACCGCACCTGCGGCTGGCTGGCACTCCTTCTGGTACCAGTGGGGGCACTGCTGCAGGAGCCCACCCGTGGTCGTTTCCTGGGGTCCTGCCACAGGACACCTGCATCATTCCACAGCCAACGTAGGCCACTCTCACCTCATTTTCACTGCAGCAGGAATTAGGGTCTAATGACTGGCTGTGTATAATGAAAGGACACCTTACAGTCTACATGAAGTGCCACTTTCCGGCAGACACCGCAGTCAGGCCACATGACTTAAGGCCCAAAGACGTCTCAGAGCTCCTCCTGCCAGCAGGCACCCTGGCCATGCTCTGGGCCTCTCGCTTCACTTCACCAGGACAACAAACCAGCCTCGTCCCAAGTTCTTCCCGAAAAGCGAACACATGGCCGAGCCAATAAATATTCAAAGACGTCGTCTAACCTCCTAAAAGTAACCCATTTCCCCAGATGTTAACGTAAACTATTTTGTAAAATTCTCATTTCCTAACAGAGCACCTCTAATCATTATTTAAAGCAGAAGTTCTCAAAATGTGGTCCACAGGTGCTAAAGCTTTCTGGAAGCTAAATGACAGCGATGTTTTTACTAGAGTCTGAGAACAGAAGCAGACGGAAGGATCCGGTTGTCAGTTAAGCCAAAAGTTAAAAAATTAATTAATGTTACCTCTGTCGTTGTTTCTGTCTTAGAAAACACTTCTTTTTTTTTTTTAATTTTTTAAATGTTTTATTTATTTCTAGGAAAGAGAGAGAGACAGCGTGAGCAGGGGAGGGTCAGAGAGAGAGGGAGACACAGACTCTGAAACAGGCTCCAGGCTCTGAGCTGGCAGTCAGCACAGAGCCCTACGCGGGGCTCGAACCCACGAACCGCGAGATCATGACCCAAGCGAAAGTCGGACGCCTAACCGACTAAGCCACCCAGGCGCCCCAAAAAACACTTCTTATATAATGTTATTCACGTTAACATGCTTTATATTCAAAAACAAATAAATATAGATATCTTTTAAATGTTAAATCCAGTAAAAAACAGATATACGTAAATAAAGACTGTGATGCCTTCAGCAACTCTAGGTGTATAAAAATGTCTTGAGCTCGGGGGTAAAGAGCAGGCTTTAAGGGTAACTTTACAGGACGGCTCTCGACGGGCCAAAAGCAGTCAGTGCTGTGTCCTTCCTGGTCAGCAAGGCTAAGTGAGCAGCAGCACTGCTTCGTCTCAGACTCTTGCACACCCTCCAGCACTGTTTCGAGAGATTACTGGGAAGGTACCTCTTTCCAGTTACAAAATGGTAGACTCACAGTGGCTGCCACCCAACCTCAAAGAGAACATGGCTGGAGAAGACACAATGGCCTTCTCTCCTGAGCAGTGCTTGGTGAGCAGTGCTGTCAGGACCGCAGCCCACAAGCTTGCCGAGAGACAACGACCAACAGTGGAGACCGAAAGTCAAGAAGTCACCACGTTTCAGCTGGAGTCTTTTCTTTCTCTGAGATGAGCCGAAGCCAACGTCCAGTTTTGTACTGGGGGTTAGGGGTAAGCGGGAAAGGTCCCAGCTTAAATTAAACAACTAAAGAATAACAGGACCTTCTCTATCAATTTTGACAGCTTCACACAGAGCCACGTGTGACAGCCAGGCGGGCACACAACGCAACCTCAGGCCCTACCATCGCTGCACGCGTGACAAGGCAGAGACGGATCTCTTACCACTAAAACACATGCTGTGAAAAAACACAACCTGACAGGTCCACAGCTAGTGTCCACCCAGCCCCGCCATCGCCACGGAGTGCTAGGATCTGGCGGGGGGACCGCTTTGTGCAGGCTCAGCACTCCCAGTCCTGACCAAGGCAGCCAGCAGTGCCCCCTCCATGGAGAAGTGGGGTAGCTCTGGGGCGTCTGGGTGGCTTAGTCGGTTGAGCATCCGACTTTCGCTTAGGTCATGATCTCGCGGTTCGTGGGTTCGAGCCCCGCGTCAGGCTCTGTGCTGACAGCTCGGAGCCTGTTTCAGTCTGTGACTCCCTCTCTCTCTGACCCTCCCCTGCTCACGCTGTCTCTCTCTCTCCTAGAAATAAATAAAACATTAAAAAAAAAAAAGAAAAAAAAAAGGAGTGGGGTAGCTCTTCTGACGAGCAGGCTGGGCTCAGGAGGCCCAAAGAGCAGCATTGCAGAGCGTCACAAGTACATGGGCTTCAGCCCCAGCTGCAAACCTAACAGGTAGACGTGCCAAGAAAGTGCACTTCCCCTTTTGGGCTGTGCTTTCCTGCCTGGGAACTGTGAACAACTGTCACCTCCCAATTTCCTAAAAGATACATGAAACTACACCGTGTCAAATGACAGCGCTTGCACGCAGCATTTGGGGAGGCAGGCTCCAAGGAGAGCCTACTTAATAAATATTTACCAAGATGCCCTCCTGGGCTTGGCACTGGGGCACAGCAGGCAAAAGTTCTGCTCCCACGGTACCGGGGCATATGCCTCACTCTACCTGGGCTGAGACAGCGAGAAAAGGGCAGGTGCATTTATAAGGACTCTCCCAGCCACATTTTTTTTTTTTTTTTTGAAACAAAGGAACACAAATCCGATCCATCATTAGAAAACTGATTTTGGGAGGGGGGGAATCAAGAAATATCCACATAATGGAATTCTTTAGGACTGTAATTAGGGTGCCTGGGTGGCTCAGTCACTCAGGTCATGATCTCGGGGTTTGTGGGTTCAAGACCCGCGTCAGGCTCTGTGCTGACCACTCAGAGCCTGGAGCCTGCTTCGGATTCTGTGTGTGTCTCTTTCTGACCCTCCCCTGCTCACGCTGCCCCCCTTCCCAGAAATAAAAACTTAAAGAAATTTTTTTTAAAAAGACTGTAATTAGAGGACAACAAACCACACAGCCACTGCCGTGGAGAGTCAGTCCCACGGGAGTGACGGGCACAGTGGCCACACTCCATAAACACCTCCTGCCACCGCCCTCCATGTTCAGGAATGGGGGTACAGCTGTAATGTGGACTTCTTAATGGCTTCTGGTGTTCCTTTTTAAAAAATATTGTTTTAATTTTCTGGGTAAGTATTTGTAACAACACACAGTAAAGCTGTCCTTATATCTGGGGGGGGGGATTTCATTTACTTTCTTATAATGGTATGACAAACACCATTTAAATGTATCAGCATATGAAAAACAAAACCATAGCACCTAATCCTGAGAGCTGAAGAGATATTACACAGGTTAATCACCACCTGCTGATTATGTTGTAATCATAGCTACAAGAATCCTTATTAAAACAGGCACAACTACCTATTCAATCTCAAGTAACAGCTTACCCTCAAAATTGTACTCAAAAAATAAAATGAGGTCTAAACAAGAAAAACTATTCTCCAATACTGTGGGCACTCACACCAGGTGAGTTCAATTCAGACTGTTTTTGACCCCTCTTTCCCAATTAGTGTGTTTCCATCAACTGTTAACCACAGAGCCTTTGTAATGGAATCAGCACGAGTCACTTAACACTAACTAGACAGACGGAATTCTTAGCTATCCACGCTAAGGGACCACACCGGCTAAGTAAGAAAATACACAGAGAAACTCCATTTAGGAAAAGCCATCTCAACGGGCTTCCTGAGTCCGCCAGGCATGTGAGAATCAGGCCTCTGTGAGACAGTGCCACACTGCAGGGACCCAAGGACAACTGTGAGCAGGCCTAACCTGTAAATACATGCAGTCCTTGCTCTGAAACAGCCAAATGGAAATTGGCGGTTATCACTGGTCTGGTGTGAGACAGTAAAGTGCGAACAGAAATATAAGACAATCAGAACCCTGAACACCTTGCAAACACACAGCAAAACCAAAAAGAAACTGGTCCCTGAGCTGCTGGAGAACAGACTCCTTGCAAGTTAGACACCCTATGGTAGTAGGACTTACAGCGTCAACAGCAGGACCCGAAAACTCCTCCTTCAAAAGAAAATGGGATCCAAGTCGCCGCTCCACCCCCCCCACGAAGCCCAGCACGCAGTGGCCCACCTCAGGGACCCCAGCTACACCTCCCCTCCACAAGCCATTGTGATGCGCGCACACACATACACGCCTGCATTGGGGGCACCACTGTGGGACAGGTCAGTCAGGAGAAGGGAACCACCTATCATTATACAACTTTTTATTTGTGCCCTTTATTCTGATCAGCACAGAACTCTGCCTGGAATAACTTAAATTTAATCCAATACGAACAAGAGATAGCCCTTGGTGGGAAAGCACCCTTCCTGAGTTCACAGCTAACGTTCCCGAGAACAGGGGCAAGTAGGACACGATGCCTAGAACAAGCTGGGCTGGGTCTTCCCAGGTGACACTTGTGCTGTTTCAAACAGGAGCCCAGTGGGCCAGTTCCAGAGACGTGTGCGTGCAGACACGCGCGGCTGGCCACCGAGGGGGCTGGCGAGTCCCCAAGGCCGCACTGCACTGCTCTCCAAGGCTGGGAAGGCCTCCCGCAAGCGGCTACAGCCAGGCCGCCCGAGGGGCAGGAAGCCCCCGCGGAGCGAACGGAGGAGTCGGTCTGGGGGTCACTGACGTGACTTCCTTACTGGGCGCGGCTAAAGCACCTTTCCTGGGAGCACATCTCAGCCAGGGCCTGTGTGGCTCCGGGGAAACAAGAACACGTGTCTGGGGTGGGCCCCTCGGACACAGGCCCCGCTCCTTCCTCGCCCGCCCGTTGCCTGGAGGTCAGAGCGGGCGTGGACTGCCCAGGTCACACGCCGTCGGTGTGCAAACGACACGGGGGCCCTTCTCCCCGGCAAGGGACGACCTGGAGTGCCCGCAGCTCAACCCCCGCTGCTGCGCCCTGCGCCCGAGTCTAGGCTCACTTACTGAGGCGCTGGATTCAAAGCGGAAAAGCCGCCCCGAGCTCCAGCGAGTCCCAAGCCAGCGCGGGCGGCCGAGGACGACCGCAAGGCCCTCGGTAGACACACCTCGGGGCTGGGGACGCAGCGTGCCGGCTCGCCATGGACCCCGCGCTGGGGGGCGGCAGAGCCGGAAGTAGGAGACGACAAGCGGGGGGGGGGGGGCACCGCCAGGGGCGCGCTCCCCGGGAAGGGGAGGGCGGGCCAGGACACAAACGTGGCCCGCATACATCAAAATGACGAAGTAAACAGGAAACTAAAACCAGTATTTTATGACGAGGCAAATATTCTTTTTCAACGAAAGCGATTTTCCGAAAGCCTCCTTCGCTTCCCGGAGCAGCAAAGACCCCACACCTGCCCTCGCACCCTCCTGAGAGCAGGTGGAGACCACGCGCCTCCGGCCACACGACAGCGAACGCCGGGAACAGCACCCACACTCCAAGACCAGACCCTCTAACGAAACTTCACGTCCGTGCAGGGCGTCCACACGAACCAGCCGGGTGAGAGGGCAGGGCCCACTGCAGCCGGCGGCACCGTGCGAAGCCCCCGGACGCGGACGCCCGCGGGACTTGGGCCCCCGGGGAAGAGCGGCGCCCCCGCCCTCGGACCCGCGGGCCTCTCGCACTGCCAACTTGGGCCAACGGACGGTTCTGCGCTACCGTCCCCTCCGGCCCGTTCACGTCCGGATCAGGGCCCCCGAGCAAACACCCTCCTCCGGCGGACCCAGCCCCAGGCAGGCGCCCACGCGCGGCGGGGGCCTCCGAGTGGCCTCGGGAGGTGACCCCGCTCCGAGGGCCCCCTGCCCCCCCCGCGACCCCCTCTCCGCGGGGCTCCGCCGCTCTCCTTCAGCCGCCCTCCCCCTCAACTGTCCCCTTCTCCGCTCCCTCTCCCGCTCCTCATCTGCTCTCTCCCCCCTCAGCCGCCCCCTCCTCTCCTCCCTCCCGCCATCCCCGCGGCCGCCGCCATCTTCTCTTCTCGGCGGGAGTGCAGCGAGGGCCGGCGCGGCCGGCGCGGCCGGCGCTGGGTCGGCCTCCCGCTCCGCCGCCGCCCCCGAGTGCGGCCCTGCGGCGGCCGGCCCCTCTGCCCGGCGGCCGGGAAGCCACTCACCGCGGGTCGCAGGCCTCAGGGGTCCAGCAGCCATTTCCTCGGAGCTCAGCGGAGTGGGCGGGAGGGCGGGGTCGACGCCGGGCACCGAGGCGCGGGGCTAGAGGGGCCGGCCGCGTCCGGAGCAGCGCCCCCGCGCGGAGGAAGGGGGCCCCGCCCCGCGCGCGCGCCTGCGCCCTGCGCCGCGGCTCCCGTAGCCCGAAGCCCGCAGCCGGAGGAGACTCCAGACGGGGAGCCCCAGGCGGGCTGGTCCCCGGCGGGGCGCCCTGGGGCCTGGGCTGGCTTTGTGGCGAGGCGGCGGGGACGAGGGTAAAGAAGCAGCCGTGCTCTCGAGTTTGTGCAGCAAACCGGTCCCACCACCTCCCGCACGACCAGCTTGGGCACATCTGCCCGCAAGAGCTGCAAGGAGCGGTGAGGTGTCCCGGTCCCAGAAAGGGAAGGGGGTCTGCCAGGTGCCCCGCCCTCCATCGGGATCTTCTTCACTCGGGGCCGGCCAGTGGCACCCCAGCACCGGCCGGTCCCCAGATACTCCACAAACAGACCGCAAAGGGGAAGCACCGGGAGCCTCGGGGAGCTGTGGACACTGAACACTGGCCCCGAGGGCAGAACTCCGCAGCTGCGGGCCTCTGCCCCCATGACACACGTGCCTCTACAGCCCCCGGCCCCACCCTCCTTAGAAGCAGGAACCCCTTGGCTTTGGTTTCAGCCCAGCTCAAAAGGCGGACCGGTGCCCTGTGAGCAGTAGAGCTGCGCCCAGCTGACCCCGCAGGCGCATGCCTGGCGCTTCTGCCGGGAGAGCCAGGTGCTGGGGTCAGGTCGGCTGCTTAATCAACATCTATTTCTAAAGATCACAAGACCTGCTTGTTTCTGAGGGGCTGTGGATTTTCTCCGAAAGAATACAACGCAGTGTTTTTGCTGGTGGGATTCCATTAGGACCACCTTCATGGAATCCTGCAGGAATGGGCTCCACTCTTCCATCACGACTGGGTCTTCAAGTTTGCCCCCAGATACATGGAGTGGAGAGTTCAGAGAGCAAACGGTTGGGAGGTGAAAGCAGCTGGCACAAGCAGTGTGACCTTGGGCAGGTTCTGTAAACAGGGAAGATCCAGGAGGCCTCCCCAGCCAGGAGTTGGAATGGGGGAACCTCGCTCAAGCTCTTTAGTAGAGGAGCTTTGAATGAAGCAAAACCAGCAGCAATATCTGCAAAGTGCGGTTGTAATAACCCACAGGTGCCACGTCAGGTGGGTGCTTGCAGGGCCGGAAGCCGTGAGGACGGGGACTTAATGATCGTATGTAAATCACGGCACAGAGAACTGCGTACAAGACAGGACACTGATCTAGATGCGTTCTCCTCAGTTCTTCTACCTGTGTCCAGAGATCCTCAGCCAGAAAAATAAGTGGAAGTATTCTATCTCTCCTGCTATAACAAAGCCCTGGCTTTGTGATCCGAATGAGAGGGAATACAGTGTTATACACTCACGCGGAACGATGCTCATTACTCCCAACTTTCAGAACAGTTCCTGTTACTCTGAGATGTTGCCCTGCGGATTCGGTGAAAAATAAAGTTGACCTCAGAAGAAATCAGTATTTTAATCAGTGTGAGGCACGAGAACTCTATTTCCTTTCTGGTTGCTTTCATCTCCTAAGTTTCTAAATGAATCCATCCAATAAAAAAAGCTAGACAAAGTAGTACCTGTCACAAATTTTGAAGAAAATCACAGAAAAGTGGTTGTGCCTAAGTGGGCCTCACAGGCTAATAATGGTAACCCAAAGTATGTAGCAGAGAAAGTGGGGAAAACAAGCCCACAGCCCTTTCCTGAGTTCCTGAGCCCGCTGGTGAGCGTGAGAAAGGTCACCCCAACAAGTAAGTCTTAGGGCAGAGTGACAGGCGCCAGTCTTCTGCCATCACCCCTGGCCTGTGGGGCCTTGGGGCGGGGGGAAGTTGCAGCTACACAGGCTGTAATTTAAGAGATTTGTTTCCAAAATGAACAAGTACTTGAAAAGTGAAGGACTGTTTGAACTCATGTCTAACAGCTTTCTGGATTTGTCCAGGACAGAAATACAGTTTGAATGAACTGGTCCTCTTGCCTGGCTCACAAAGCTGACACCGTGAAGGGGAGAAAGCACTGGAAGGAAACACCAGCAAGAGTAACAGAGGCCAAGCCGTCCATGATTTCAAAAAGATTCCCAGAGCTTTATTCTGAACTTCAACAAAATCAATACACGCAAGTGATCTGTTCAACACCAGATTATTTCTGAATTGCTAATAGAACCAGCTGCTTCTAAAACTTAGAAATCCAGGGAGAAATAGCCTCTCTGCAATCTGTCTGCGGAAGGTGGGAGGCCAAAGGTGTTGCCTTTTATGGTTGTGCAGAGAAATGAAAAATCTTGGGAGTCTGTCAGACAGAAGCCCCTCTCATTCCAACAGAAAGCAAGGACTTAAAGAATAAATGAAGAGAATTTTAAAGTCAAGAAAGGAAAAACCCAAAGTTTGCAAGTGTGTTCTAAAAAAGGAAAGCGTGGATATCAATTGGTGAAGCCTCTCCTCTTCATTCAACACTTCTGCCACCCAGACACCTGGTCACATGGCTGGGCTTAGACAAAAAGAAAAAAATCCTCAAAGCACGTACAGATATAACTATGCACATACAGTCTATGTGTTTGTGTGTGTACATGTGTGTATTATCCAGTTTCCTTTTAATTAAAAAAAAAAGGGGGGGTCCCAAATCCCAAGCCAGTATGTGTCTATCAAATTCTTCCCCAGCCAAGCCTGAAGCGTACTGATTCCACATGAGATGCTGCTGGAGTCAGTGACTGTCGCACAGGCGTGCCGCCTGTGTCCGCTGCTGCAGGGCTGTGTGGCCCCCACCGCCCCACCTGCGCACGCTCTGTAGCATCCCAGCACGGCTCAGAGGACCGGGAGATTACTCTTGCTTTCACCCACCCAAAGAAACTTAGAAGCAGCGCTTTCTGATTTAATGGAACAGTCTTGGGAGGGCGGGGCCGTACCCAACACCCCGAGAGGCACGCTGCGCCCCGTCTTAGAATTCAGCTGGGACCCACGCACCATCAGCACTGAACAATGATAAAATCCTTCCTACTCTTTCGTGCCTTCGGGAGAGCTGGCGCCCGGGAACTGACCTCTCGGGGCAGACTGCCGGGTTGTTGCGGGGACTCTGAGTGCCAACAACCGACTATCCTGATGCACGAGCTTGTCTTCACCAACTCTCCTTCAAAGCAGGGCTTGATCTTATGCTTTTTGTTTTTGAGAATAAGATAAAAGCAACTGTAAAACACGGCTGATGTCCTGCTTACTGAACTGTCGCAGATTTGAGTAGAGGAAGCACTGTGTATTTTATTCCCCAAAACACTTTTCCTTTCTAAAAACTCTTCAATGCTCTTTACCACTGATAATCTTTTCATACTTCTCGGTAAAGAGTTGCTAATCTAATAAAGTGAAACTCTCCAGCCATGCTTGGGGACCCGTGGAAACTCTGGCAGCTCCCCCTTCCGCAGACCCACCTGCTTCCCATCAACCTGGTCACTGCCCCCGGCAGTGGCCGAAATGGTGCACCTCCCTCCCGCTCTCCCGTACCCCCAGACTCCTTGTGGCCTGACAGGGCGTCTCCAGGCGGGCCTAGGCTGGCCCCTATCCGTACACCCCGCAGGCGATCTCCTGCACACCTGGCTGCGCTCACCTCTGCCCGTATCTGGGTCCGTGCACTCACTAGCTCTCCTAACGTCGCCACTTGATGCCTCGGATGCACATCAGAACCTAAGGCGTGCGAAATGAGCTCATGACTTCGGAGCCTCTCCGCTAATCAGGCCCTTTCCTGGTGTCCCTACCCAGTGACAGTCCCACCCTATAAACCCAAAAGCACAAACCCGTGGCCTGGATTCTTCCTGACACGCCTCCCTCCCCCTCAGCCACCAAATCCTGTGGCTTCCCCTGGCCCTTGTTCTCCACATCTGCTGCTTCCCAGGCGTTTAACACCTCACCGTCTTCCCGCCACCCTGCTTACCTCTCAACTCACCGCCACCTATCGCTGTCCATTCCCGCCACATGACTGAGCTCACTGCCCGTCACCCCCAAGTGTCCAGTGCACAGTTTCTGGTGAGTGTCACAAGGACGGCCCTGCTGCACTTGATACTGTTCATCTAACTTCTAAAACTCCCCCCCCACCCCGCTCCTGGCTTCCGGGGAGCCTCCTGACCCCCTGGTCCCCGTCAGACCTCTCCGATAACCTCATGGGCAACTTCTCCAGATGACAGCCTCACGCTGCTGTCCTTTAGGGTTCTGGATTCTTCTGCTCCTGCTCTCTGTAGTCTTTCTCTAAATACGTCCGTCAGCTCCCACGTGGGGTCACCACAAAACCTTCGCTTCCGGCCCTCACCGTCCCTCCCTGGAGCTGCAGCCATGTCCCACCTCGAACCTGACAAAGCCAACACTGAGCTCGCCATCCGCCGCCCTTCCAGCCCAGCGTCGTCAGGGTGGCTCTGTCACCCGGCGCCCCCACCATTAACCTCACCCGCCAGGACACAGGGGTGCCGCTCTGCCCGTCTTCCGCTTGGGCCAATCCACGGACTCGATCGGAGGGCTGCTCACACTGACCTCTGTGGAGGTCTCCCTTCATCCGCTTCTGCTGAGGCTGCTTTCACTCAAAGTTGTCTTCATTCACTCATTTACTCCTTCACCTTCTCAGCACAGAGCTACGGGCCGACAACGCACCGCGGGTTTCAGCTCACACATGCCGGGACGCGGAAGCCGGTGCGCTGTGTTAGCCAACTACCACCAGATCGCTGAGGACGCGAGTCGTGATCCTACAAGAGCCCCGCTGCCTCCGGCTTTGTTCCGGGTACTTCACCCCCCTGTGAGGAGTTAGCCTGGAGAAGGTCTAGAGCCCAGCCAGTGAGAACGTGCAACAGGAGGTCTGCAGTGGAGACACGCAGCGCGGAGCCGGGAGGCTTTCCCGCTCACTGTGCACTGGCAACTGGGGAGTCTCCGAAAGGCGCGCTGCGCACAAGGAGACATCGTCCTGCCTGCTGCGCGGGCTTCATTCAACACTGGCCGGACCCCTACGAGGGGCAATCCCAGCAGCAGAGAGGCCGCGGGCAGTAAAAAGCAGCCAGTGCCCAGACAGCAATAAGGAGATGGAGTGTGCAGGACTCGGTAGTTGGCTGCTGGCGGGCACGTGCGTTAACCTCTGACCCACGGAAGGCGCAGCTGAAGCCTCTTTGGACTGGAATAGCCTGTCCTCTTAGGGCATCGGCATTCAAGTTCTTGCTTGTATGCCTTTGGAAAGAATTCTAAAAATCCACACGCCTTCCACACCGTGAAGGTGACACCTCGAATCGTACTCAGCATTAAGCAGTTGCAAAGAACGTCCTTACGAACGTTTACTACCTGTTCGATTGAAACAGATAAACTTTGAACCTGCAGACTTAGCCCACTGGACTCGAAACTACCCGTCAACAGTCATCCCTGTGAAACCTATGGGACTCGCTCCGGGCGAGAAATCCGACAGCGCCCTCGCGCTCTTCAGCTCGCTTTTGAGCAACCACACGAACCCATCGGCCCCCGAGCTAATCCAGGAAGACGTCCGATTTCATGGGACGGAGCAAGAGGCCGCCCCTCCGGTTCCTTCCTGAAGCCGCTGAGATCTCTTAACCTTGCTCTCCCAGAGCGGGAGGAGCCCCCGCTCCGCCGCGGCCCGCGAGCAGGCACAGAACGAGCACCCGCGCGCCTCCGCGCGTCCCCGCGCCCGCCGCGCCGCGCCGTCGCCGAAGGCGCTCCCGCAGCCGCCGCCCCGCCTGGCGCAGCCAGCGGACGCCAGGCCTGCGCGGCAGGCGCCCCGGGGGCGGGCCCGGGTCTTCTGCCCCCGCAGGCGGCGAGCGAGAGCGCGCTCGCCGAGGCGGGAGGGTAACCCCCAGGGCCCGCCTCAACCGACGGAACGGAGCGCTCCCGCCGGGTCGCGCTCGGGCGGCTCCTCCCGGGCCCGTGCGAAGCCAGGCGCCGGGTGGGGAGGGACCCCGCTTCGGGGCGGCGAGAAGCACCGGCGCCTGCCCCCCGCCCCCTGCCCTCCGAGCTCACACAAATGACGGAAAGGGAACTGGGACCTTCGTCTCCGACTCAGTCTAGATGTCGCCATCCTGGCGCGAAGTTTCCCCGCAACGACACTTCGGCGGCGGCCATCTTGCCCAGAGTCAGCCGACGCCTTTTGACTCTCGCGCCAACCCGTAGAGCGAGCGCGCCTCGAGGAGAGTTCTGCGCAAGGGCGGAAGCGGGAGTCCCGCGCTTCCGGGCGGCCGCCGCGCCCCGCCCCCCTCGCGGGAGCGCTTGATTGGCTGCAGGCTGGAGAGCCTGCGCTCTCGCGATTTCGCGGGAGGTGCCTGAAGGGGCGGCTGTCCGTGCGTCTGCCCTCCCGTTCCCCGCCCCCGCCTCCGCCGCGGCTCCCGCCTCCGCCTCCCATCCCCGGCGCCTCGCCGCCCTCCTGGCTTGCCCCCCCCCCCCCGCCCCGAACGGCCGTGGAGACCGCGCAGCGCGGGAGGCGGGATCCGCACGGTAAGATGGCCGCGGCGGACCCAGGCGGCCGGGCCGAGCTTCGCCGCGGGAGCGCGGCGGGCCGGGGTGGGGCTGGGCAGGGGCGGGGTGGAGGCCGGGGAGGGCGGCCGGGATAGGGCTTGGCGGGGGAGGTCGGAGGGGGCGGGGGCAGGGATCGGAAGCGGGCTGGGGGTCCTGCGGGGTCGCGGGTCTGAGCAGGCGGCAGGACTGGGGCCTTCTTGGTTTGCACGTCAAACTGCCCCTTTCCTCTTGGCCGTAGTAGACTCCTGACCCCACAGAGCCCGGCGCTGTAATTCGGGTGTTTCTTCTTAAAGGGAGCGCGTTTCAAGCGAAGGCTCCAAGGTTCGGAAGTGATCGCCAGCTACAGCAGTGGCAGTTACCTGAAACACCGCGCTCGTGTCCCTGTGAAGAGAAAGATTTTTATGACAACCGCCTCAGAGCAGAAGCTGAGCTGTTGAGGACGCGAACTCCTGCTTGGGAAGCAAGTGTTCCTCGTTCTCAGACTTGGGAGGTTTGTGTGTTGAATATTCCTCCGGAGTTGTTGCTCTTCCCAGATCGCTGTCCGCGCTGGGGGCGGTACTGGTGTGGCTGTGGGCGCTGCAGGGATGAAGAGAGAGGGGTCTGGTTCGTCTGAGGTTCCCTTGAGTTGCTGTCTAGGAAGAACAGTGTGGTCTGAGTGAAGGATGCACTTGCCTGGAGCTACAGGACGGGGGCACTTGTGGGCGGAGCGACATCTCTGGTTTGTCTCCCGTGCTGGCTTCCTCCTCTGGTGCTTCTGAGCGTGGGCACCCTCCAGCACGGAGGACTTGGTCTTGTGTCCACGCGCTCTCCCTGAGCAATCTTTGCCCAGCTCCTGGGGTTCGAGGTCCTTGTTGGGTGGATGTCCTTAATTGACGTTTCCAGCGCTGGGCTGGGGACCCATAATCCAGGGGCCTGCTTGACTCCTCCAGCTGCGTCTGACAGTCACCCCAAACCTGCTCTACTTCTCAAACCTGCCCTGTTCCTCTTTGTTCGTGGCCCCGTCCGCCAAGGTCTCAAGCTTGAAAGCTTCCGTGGGCCTCAAGTGCTCCGGGTCCTTTATTCCTCTGCGGTCATGCCCGCAGCAAGGCTGTTGACTTGCGCCCGCAGAATCGTCCCCTGCCGTGTGTCTCACTCTCCTGCCGCTGCTCTTGTTTGATGGCTTCTCACTTGCTTTTCTGCTCAGCTCTCACTGCCCCGCTTTCGCTGGTCTTTAACTTAAAACGTTTAAGAGATTGGGAGCAGGGGAGAGGGCAGGAGAAGAGACAGAATCTCAAGCAGGCTCCACACTCTGCGCGGAGCCTGACTTGGGGCTCAATCCCATGACTCTGGGATCACGACCTGACCCAAAATCAAGAGTTGGATGCTCAACCGACTGTGCCACCGGGAGCCCTTGTGTTTTTAACATTTTAACTTAATGAGGGAATTAAGCGTGACCTGAGCTGACGTAAAGTGAGCATCTGTGACGTGGAGGTCACGCACGAAGACAGTGGTGGGCTCACCAGCTGGCGTCCCCACGGCTGGCTCTTGTCCGCTCTCCTTCCCGTGCCCACCGCCTCCCGAGTTTCACATCTTTACTCAAAACCAGGAAACACTTTGCCACGTTTGTATTTATCGCTGAAGCACGTATCCTGTGGTTTGTGTTGTTTTTGTTCTTTGTAAAACCGTCTGCTGCACCTCGCTGCATTCATCCAGCTGGTTTCTGAGAGTCATCCGTGGGGCTGTGTTAGTATTTTGTTTTAATAAATTCTGTTACGTGAGTATATGATTATAGGTCTTTCTCAGCAGCCCTAACACCCAGATGGCTCTGAAAACCAGAAATTTTTTATTTTTAACCTACTTGGTGGCAATATCTGACCCAGTGAAAGCTTTTTCACCTGCATCCCACTCAGTGTGGGTACCCAGACGTTTCCCCAAAAAAGTAATATTTAATTGTGGGTGTCACCCCAGAGTGCAGGCAGCATGTCGCGTTACATAGGCTAAGTTGTGCCATCTAGCCGGCATATAGTCTGCAGAACCTAATATTTTGGACCATATGTGCCCAGCAGTTCTAGGCCTGGGACTGTGGTTCCGTGCTGCTTTCCAGTGAACGCCCGGGTGTGTGGCTTCCTGATTTTTGCCATTTTGAAGAGTGTTTCCAGGAGCAGGCTTGTCCGTGTCCAGTACACAGTGCTGAGTGGGGAGGACCTCAGTCCGGCGATAGAATCGCAGGGCCACCAGGCGCACGTGGGCGGCTCTGCGGGGAATGTCAGGTCTGTGTGCGGGGCTGGTCTGCTCTCCCAGCAGCATCGGCGCGCTCCTGGGAGCTCCCGGTCTTTGTGGAACTTGGTACTGTCACACGTCCTAATTTTGGCCAGGCTGGTGAGTGTGTTGCGGGCTTCTCTCTCGAGCACGTGTGTCATAGCATTGAATCTTTAGCTTCCGTCTCTCCCGGTTGCCCTTTGTGCTGAGAAGGGAATTGATCTAAACCCCTCCTTCAACCAGCACGGCCTCGTTCCGTACACACACAGCCCCCCCCCCCCCCCCCCCCCCCCCCCCCCCCCCCCCCCCCCCCCCCCCCCCCCCCCCCCCCCCCCCCCCCCCCCCGGACTTGACCTGCCCATCCTGAGACTCTTGGCCCTTCCTTGCGCCCATCCTGTCTCCTAAATACCCCAGCCTTCTTTCTGGGTCTCTCTTACACCTGCATTTGGTGCCTGGCGCTCTGAACTCGCCGTTTTCCAGATAAAGTATCTTTCCACTGTCTCCTTATTCCTTTGCAGTGCGTTGCCTTGCGTCTCTCTGAAATGATTACAGTTCTTCATGGAATTCTTAATATCCTTTTTTTCTAATTGAAGGACATTTGAGAGCCAGTGTTACGTTAGGTTCTTGTTGCAGCATGGGTGTTTGGTGACCCTGTAGGTTTCGCTGTGCTCACAAATGTGGCTGTCACCTGTGACCCCACAACCCTATGAAGGACCATTGAGCATATTCCCTGTGATTCATTCCTGTGATCTTCATTGATTTCTAAAATACCCTTTCCTTGTAGAAATAAGTCAGAATGAGTTATGCAGAAAAACCCGATGAAATCACGAAAGACGAGTGGATGGAGAAGCTCAATAACTTACACGTCCAGCGAGCGGACATGAATCGCCTCATCATGAACTACCTGGTCACAGGTATCGGCCTGGCCGTAGGGGTGCTACCTGTTGAACGTGACTCTCCCTTTGTGTACGTACGGGCAGAGATTTACCAAAGGAGTTTCTTGGTGGAATGTGTTTGGGCATGATAAAAACGCAACGCTAATTTTCCTAAATTTGTAAGTTATTGTATTAGAGGTGACTTGTCCCAGAGCTGACATCGTTACTCCGGGTGTCCGAGCTCTAAAGCAAAAACCTGCTGCTTGACCTGTAATATTTTTATGGTTAATCAAGTTACTGCAGAAGGCTCTGAAGTACATTTAAACCCCAAGTCGTTGATCTCTTTTGACAAGTCTGGTAAACTATACTGGACTGTTTCTAGAAGGTGTGCCTAATTCAGAGGAGAAAGGGGGAAGGACAGAAGCAGATGGAAAGTAACAAAAGGGATCTGTAACTACAGTCTTTCTTGATATTGGGAAGGAAAAGGGTAATTCTGTACGTGATCAGAAAACCCAGATGTTTCATAAAGGTCTGGGTCTCCTGCCATTGTACACAGTACCTCCTCCCTCAAATTAGTCTGTAGTAAGACTTCTCTGGGAAGAGGGTGAGGAAGTGTCTGCCTGTAGCGGGGCTGGGTGACACACATGCTGCTTAGCCGCTGGTAAGAACTGTCTGCTCACAGGAGGAGGCAGGGCCTGGTCTCTGCAGGTGGTGAAGGTGCAGCTGGCGTGCGCAGATGCGTCCGGACCACACCTGCAGCGTCTGCACCTGCGCCTGGAGTCGCAGCCTTCTTGGGGGGTGGTCCTGTAGCGCCCCGGACTTCCTGGCACGTGCCCTCACCCCTGGCGTCTTGGGTGGGAGGGGAAGGAGCAGAGTACACAGTTTTTATTTCCTGTGTGGGGTGCAGCTAGTAAATCAGAGCTGTTAATGCCAAGTCCCTGCGACCGGGCGGGTCATGTTGAAGGTTGGTGATTTGAGGCAGGTGGGCTTTCTAGGGATAAAAATGCTTTGCGTGAGTGTCTTGCTAGCTTCCTGAGCACTACAGGTGGTTTTCATTTTCAGAGGGCTTTAAGGAAGCAGCAGAGAAGTTTCGAATGGAATCCGGGATTGAACCTAGTGTGGATCTAGAAACACTTGACGAGCGGATCAAAATCCGTGAGATGATCCTGAAAGGCCAGATCCAGGAGGCCATCGCGCTGATCAACAGCCTCCACCCAGAGCTCCTGGACACAAACCGCTATCTTTACTTCCACCTGCAGGTGGGTTTCAGTTGTGTGGCGTCTGGTTTGTGGACACTCCTCAAGGTCACGTGTGCTCGTTTCAGAAGTAACGAGGCTCGTTTGCACGAATAGAATACTGTTTTAGTTCACGTGGGGAAGGGGTTTGAGTTAGCCATTGGTATACATATTCCAGAAGCCGTTCCTTGCTTCAGAAACGCTGTTTTAATAATTGTGGGCTGCTAGGAGGTTGTCATGTTCAGATGTCCTTGGGCCAGAGACTAGAGCGCGTCACTGGGCGTAGCCTGCCGGGGCGCTTCTGGGTAAGCCCGTCTGCCTTTGCCCGTGACCAGCAACAGCACCTCATAGAGCTGATCCGCCAGCGCGAGACGGAGGCGGCGCTGGAGTTCGCACAGACGCAGCTGGCGGAGCAGGGCGAGGAAAGCAGGGAGTGCCTGACAGAGATGGAGCGCACGCTGGCGCTACTGGCCTTTGACAACCCCGAGGAGTCCCCGTTCGGGGACCTGCTTCATATGATGCAGAGGCAGAAGGTAAGATGGTGGGGGGGGGGCTCCTCCTTCCCCTCAGTGGGTGTTCAGGGCGGGACTCCAGGAGGCACAGCCGTAGGACAGAGACCGTGTCTGGGCACATGACTCAGACGACAGCGCGGATTCTTACTCCGAGTGTAACCTCGCCCCACGTGAGGCGGGAACAGCATTCACACTCCCCGTCAGCTTTTTGCGTTCCCCTTAGCCTCCTTCCTGTTTGTCTGGAGACTCTTAGAAGTAGGTGTTCGAAACATTTCTTAACCTAAAACCCCATATTTGCTTGCAAATCTGTTCATCTCTTTGCTGCTGCTTCCGTGTTCCAGCCCCCGTGACGGTCCATGACTTCCCCGGTCGCAGCCCTCTACTCCCGTGGCCCTTTCCTGCTGGAAGGGAGGGCCGCCGTCCGGGCCACCATGCCTGTCCCCCCGCAGCTTGTCCGGTGGACCTTGCGTCGCCCCACGCGGCTCTTCCCTGGGTCCCGGTCCCCTTGAGCCTGGCTCGTGGCCTTTCACTGCTCTGCAGGCCGGGCGTGACCCACACCGACCAGGCCGACCAGGCCTTGAGCTCCTTCGGAGCAGGGAGCCTGTGGTTACGTCTTCTGGAGCATCTCAGGCCACAGGCTTTGATTCATTTAAATAAGTAACTAGCTTCTCCCGTAAGGCTGTTTTAAGAAACATAAACGTGTGTTATGAGCGCTCCTGCCGGCAGGCGCTCTGCACGCCTGGCCATCTGTATCGGAGGTGTTTATTTTCCAGGTGTGGAGCGAAGTTAACCAAGCTGTCCTAGATTATGAGAATCGCGAATCCACGCCCAAGCTGGCAAAATTACTGAAACTACTCCTTTGGGCTCAGAATGAGCTGGACCAGAAGAAAGTAAAATATCCCAAAATGACAGACCTCAGCAAAGGTGTGATCGAGGAGCCCAAGTAGGATCTGCCGGCGGCCCCGCGTGTCCCTGCCTGGACTCGGAGTGGCCGCCTGGGACTGAGGTGGTTCCTGCAGTAGAGAACTCTCGCTTCCCCCGTTTCCTGGTGTTTTTTTTTGTTTGTTTTTTTTGACCCTGCATCTTTTTTAAAGGGGAAAATGGCCCTTCTAAGCGCTGGAAAACTGTCAGTGAGACACGCTGTCTGTGGAAGCGCAACGCAGACCGCGGCAGGTGCGCTGACGGCGGGGACAGGCCGCATCGGCCGCCGAGCGCTCTGTCGTTCGGGAACGTTGTTGAACTGAGGCCTCCCTCGCAAACCGCTGATGAGCATTGGTCGTTATTTTGCTTTCTGTTAGCTCGCAGGCAGAAGATACGCTTTCTCAGATCTGCTAAGACTCGTCAGGCCTCTGCGGAGAAGTTTTCTCTTACCCCTTGGTTTTTTGTTTCTGTTTTTTCATAGGAAGGACTATATAAATTTGTAAATCCTAATTCAAAGACTTCTTTTGTGTGAGGGTATCGAGTTTGGTTTGTTTTCCTTCTGGTCTGGGTGGTACGGCTCCTGGGGAGACGCACGTGTGCATGCGTGTGTGTGTGACAGTGTGTGTGTATGAGGGCTGGGGCTGTGTGTTTTTTAATTTTTTAAATCTATATTTTGGTGCTGGCTGTGGTGAGAGACTCTTTCTTAGCGGATCAACGGACCTTCTCTTCTAGGCAGTTTTGTTGAAAATAAAGGTTTTTCTTTGATTTCAAGAATGACCACAACCGCCTCTAAAACGTTTTAATCCTCTCAAGTCTTTTGCTTTCAGAGCGCACATCCCGATGCTGGGACGGTGACTGATGCCAGTGACCGCATCTGGTGCCCGCAGGTGCCTGGGAGCACAGCCCAGGAGGTGGGGTCTTGGCAGCAGCGGGCTTCGCTGTCGCGTGTCCCACCGGCCGCAGTGCAGCGGCTTGGGACGCGGGTGTGGACTTGCTGTGGGTGCGGCCCGGCACTGGTGTCATAGGGTGGGCCTTAGGGAGCTGTGGGCTAACCCCTGGGGTGCAGGCTCCCAGAGGTGGTGGGGATCGTGCCCGTGCCCGAGGGTGCAGGGCTTCTCTAGCTGTGGGTGGCTCTGCCTGTCCCCCGGTGCTGGGACTCTGTCTTCCTCGTACGGATCCTGGTGCCGGGACGGGGTTTGGGCCCAGTGCTTCACAGAGACAGATACCAACAGCAGCTGAATTGGGGGAGCATGTTTCCTTGACCAGCGAGGCTGCACGGGCTTGTGGGTGCTCCCGTGGGTCAGGTGGTCTGCCTCAGGCCGCTGGGGCCACGTTCTCCACACGCCTGCAAACCTGAGCATGACCCTTACGTGCCGTGCAGTCGGCCGCTCTCCCGCTTAGTCCCTGTTCCCCACTCCACGTGGAGTCGGCGGCGGGCGGGGAGAGGGGGGCGGAGGGAGTTTGACCACCTGGCTGGTCACCAGTGCAGAGGCAAGACTGCGTCGTGGGCTCTTCTGGCCTCTGACCGCCCTCCTGTTTGCCTCGTGGTGTGGTGAGGATGAAGGCGGGGGGTGTCTTCTTGGCGCCCCAGGCCGTCTCAGCAGTCCTCTCTACCTGTGACCTTTCTCTAGGGTCGTGTCTGAGGCTTGAGGCCCTTGAGGCCCGTGATAAGTTAGGGCAAAAGGTTTTAGCCCTCAGGCAGTTCACCGCTCCCTGCAGTGGGAGCTGGAGAGACAGGCAGGTGGAAGTGCACGCACTTGGCGGGCGCCGGAGTCCGGCACGTTTCTGGTCGGCTCTCCTCATCAGCATTCATGGGATTGTTTGCGGGCATCACTGATACATAACCAACCCGACGTGGCCTTCGGAGCCCAGGGCAGGAGCTGTGAACCATCGGGGCCTGTGTTGGCCTGTTGAGGCAGCGGACCACCTACGGGCTGGGTGTCGGTGAGACTTGCCCCCAGACTCGCTCCTGTTCACCTCCCTCCGAGGCCCGCTCACGCTCCTCCAGCCTGTGGGCCCGGGGGCTCCGGCACGGACTGGCTTTGCCGTCTCCTCCGTCGGCCGCCGCGGTGCCATCTGTTTCTTCAGCAGGCAAGCTAAATTAAGCCATTTTTAATCATGAACATGAAGTATAACGTGATTTTTCTTTGTCTTCTTTAGATCTCACCATTGTTTTTATGAAAACGTAATGTTTTATGTAGTTTATTCTCTTTATGTTTTCTTGTGGGAAGTGCCTTGAAATAAAATTTGAGAATATTCTAGTACTCTGCGTTCCTGGTAGGAAGTCGTGTGAAGAATAACTCCTAGTTTGGAATCTTCACGAAGCATAGGGGTTAATGCAAATCAAATGAAAACTAACATATTTTGCCATTAGAATGAAAGTTTCCAGGATCTAGAAAAGACACATGTTTACTGGGACCGTATTTGAGATGCAAGTCTCCTGGCACGTGACTGAAGACCCATGTGTGAGGCTTCGGGGGACAAGGAGGTGGTGGCTCCCGTGCCGTTGAGGACGGTTTCTGGAGGGCGGCGTGACGTCCGTGTTTCCTTCCGCACAATGCTGGCTTTGGGGAGGGATGGAACCGGGGCTTCCAGAAAGAACCGTACACATTTTATGTTAAGGACAGTGGTGTCCTCCAGATGACAGGGCGGGACCTGCTTCTGGGAGTTAGCATGGCCTCTCGTACAAACAGAAGGCCGGACCGAAGCCGTCAGGTGTGCCTGCCTGCCGCCCGAAGTTGCCCAGTGATGACGTGGGGGATGTGAGCGGCAGGCTGCCCGCCCCCACAGGCTGTCTTGGGGCGCCTTCGGGGTACGTGCTGCTCTGACACCTCATGCTTTGGTTATTACAGCGGGTCCTGAGTCCGCCGTGTCCCTGCCGAGGCCTGCGTGCCTCCGACAACGTCCTCTGCAAAACGCAGGATAGGATGCTTTTGCTGCCTGTTCTTAATTTCATAGTAAGATCCGTCATGTTTTCCTCCAGAGTGGTTACCGGAAGGGTCTTCTTGAGTTTTACCTGTGAAGATGTACAAAGAACAAGGAATCAGGGATGACGCTGGCACGTCTGGTGGGAATCATCTGCGAGCACTGGTGGAGGGACCCCGGGGACCACGTCCTTACGCCCCCTTCTGTCTGTTCCGATTACGCCCCCTCCTGTCCGTTCCGACGGCACTGTCTCTGGTGCGCGTCTGTGTGCCGCGTGTGGATGGGAAACCTGTCGTCCCTTCTGAGATGTGGCACTCGAGTTCCATGTTTGTGGGAAAGTAGGTTGGGGCTGCGCTCTGCATGATTTTAAGCTGAAAAGTGTTTTTAAGTTTCTTTTTTCCTTTTTTTTTTTTTTAACTTCTGAATACTTGCAGACGTTGCAAGCGCAGGGGCTGCTGCGGTGGGCCTGGCGCCCTCCTCCCCGTGGCACATGCCACGTCCCGCAGGGCACATATCCCGTGCCATCAGGGCCGTGAGCACCTTGCATGGAAGGCACTCGCGGAACATTGACAGACTCGGAGTGACGGCTTTCCAGTGCCTTCTAGTGAGTGCAGGAGGAGGGTGCCTTGTGCCGGAGTGGTGGCGTTACCGGGCGTAGCCCCGTGGGCTTGGTACATTGGAGACGAAAGGGACCCTCCCCCGTCACCACTCCCCATGTGACGATGGCACCTAAGCCCTTCCTCATGCCAGTGCCTGCCACCTTGGAGTGGCGGTGTGGTGGGTTGTGGGGAGGCCATGCAGAGCAGTGAGCACTGGGGTGTGCGCTCAAGGCCACCTGGGTGTTTGGCAGGGGCCACGGTCCCGGCGCGGGGGGCCTGCCCGTCTGGGATGTTGTGCCTTAATCCTGAGATGCCATCGCGGTGCTTTTCCTGTTCTCGCGATTTGCCTACGTGGATGTAGAAGACGGGTTCGCACGGGCCTGTGCGGGGTCAGCAGGGCTGGGGTGTCCCCAGCTCCAGTGGCCGCAGGTCCTTGGCAGGAGGCGCTGTCTGTCCTGACTGGCCATCCTGTCCCTGCATGTGCAGGGCAGAGGGGTTTCTTGGGGGGAGCCTGTGGTGGAGCCGGGATTCATCTGCAGACTTAGGAGCCCCCCTCGGGAAGGCCAGGCTGATGGGTGCATTCTGACCGTGACGCTGGAGGGGAGTGGGCTTGTCTGCGCACACCTTCCCGACTGGCTGTGCTTTTAAGCAAGTCACAGCACAGCCCTTGGGCCCGGTCGTGGCGTGGCATCGGCAGGAATGCGTGCTGTGCCGTGTGGCACAGGGCTCCTCCTCACATCGGGAGCCTGGGGACCAGGAGGCGAGGATACGGCTGCCGACCGCCTCATGGGACCGCTGGACTCGGGTGCGGAGCCCTGCCCGGCTGTGCCGCCTCACTCTGCTCCGCAAGCCGGCTTTCTCCCGTGGGACATGGCGCCGCACGCCCGCGAGTGAAGCAAGCCTAGTGGTCACCGAGGCCTCCCGTGCCAGGGCTGCAGGCTCGGTGAGCACAGAGACACAGGGTGAGGTGGGCCCTGTGCGGCTCCAGACTCAAGGGCCCAGCGAGTCCTTGGTCTCGAAGCATCTAGTTGTGTTTTTAGTGTGAAACACATGCAGAACAGCAGACTCAGATGGTGAGCTCACTAGCACTTTGAAGGGAATGAACTGTTCCAGAGCCTTCAAGAATTCCTCTTGTAGAATCTGTATTGCATTAAATTCATTTATTATCATAAAGTTCAACTTTGTGGTTTCCAATTAAATTGTACACAGTTGTTTGTCCTTGGGTCCCTCTACCATTTAAGTTATTGGGTGCAAAAGATGGACTCCTCCCTTCATTAGCTCATGTGAAGCAGGGGGAGGGGACAGAGGTGACGTGGGGGGCCGGGGGACTGCACAGCTGTGCCAGGTGTGGCTCTAGGCGTGTGGCCCTCATGCTGCGCGGTAGGGATGGCTCTGGAGGCTGACGGAGAAGGGTTACAGCATAAGCCATAAGCAGGGGACTCGCTTTGGTGAAAGCCCTTATGGCTGGAGGGTGGGCTGGCGGGGCCCTGTGGTTGGGGGCGTTTTAGGGTTTGTTCTAAGTGCAGTGAGAGCCCTTTGGGGGGTGATCTGTGGTGGGACAGGACCCAGCTTGCCAGGCTGCCCCGTGGGGGGTGGGGGTGAGGGTGTGGGGGGGGGGGGGGAGAGGGTCCCGGGGTGTGAGGACGAGTGACGAGGACGCAGCTGGGAGAAGCCCAGTGTGGCCAGAAGTCCAGTTGCCGTTGGGTCCTGGCATCCACGGCTGTCCGTGTTGGCTGTGTCCTTCACGAGGACACGTAAAGCCCCCTCACCCCGCCCCAGAGGGCCCTGGAGACCCAGCTTGGGGCCTGGCAGGGCCTCCATGCTACGCACAGGCTTGCGGCTCTGACCCGCTCCTCCGAGGCCTGCCGTGTGGACGCTGCCCGCTCAGCTGCCCAGCTAGGCTGCTCGGGTGACAGGGCTGGAGCCCACTTCCAAAGACCCACCTTACAAACTGGCTGCCCTGGAGTCTTCCTGCCCCTGCATTCTGCGAAGAGCGTCCCAACTGTCACTCGATGAGACCACAGCCCTGTGACATGCGGACCACCACCATCGCCCCGTTCACGGGCACCCACTCAACACCGGAGCCCGAAGGGGAAGGCGGGGAGCATTCGCCCCGCCCCCCATAGGCCGGTCCCTGGCCCCGCCCCCCATAGGCCGTCCGCCCAGCCCGCCACGCAGAGCCCCGCACCCTCCCCGCTCCCGCCCGGGAGCCCCGGGAGGTGGACCCTGACAGCCGCCTGGGGAGCGGGGGCGCCTGGGGAGCGGGGGCGGGGACCGCGCGTGTGCCCCGCCCCGCCCGCCCTCCGCGGTGGCCGTCGGGGGCGACACGTCCTAGGAGCGCCAGACGGAAGCACGCCGGGACTGACACGTGGCCCTGGGCGGCGCTGCCCGTGTGGGGTGTGGGTCGGAGAGGCGGGCGCCCTCCGCTGCCCGGAGAGACGGGTCGGAGAGGCGCTGCGCCCGCGGACGGCTGCCCCCGATGCAGCCGCTACCAGCAGCGGAGGAGGCCCGCAGGGACGCGGCCGAGGAAGCCCAGTGGTCCAGGTGGGGCGAGGGGTGCGGGGTGGGGGGAGGGAGGGTTGGCAGCTGGGGGAGGGGCCAGGCCACCTTCTCCACCTGTGGGCCGAGCACTTCCCACGTCCACAAACCAGTACCCAGCCTGGGACCCCTTCCTTGCCGCGAGCCCCAGGGCCAGCGGGACCCCTTGAGCTGTCCAGGCTCCTGGGGATTGTGCAGGCAGGAGCTATCCCAGGAGTCCTGCCTGGTGAAGAGGGAGCTCACAGGCACAGCTGCGAGTCCTAGACGTCACCCTGCCCGGTGGGACCCCGCCCATTCACAGCCGAGCCCCTATGGTGAGCACACACCTGGGAGCAGCTCAGCTGACATGGCAGGTGGCTGTCCTGCCCCCACCCGCCAGCTGTGTGGACAGGTCTCCACGCGGGATGGGGGGGAGTCTCGGGGGCCAGGGCCCGCATTCTGGGAAACATTCTGTTTCCACACCTACCGCCACGTGCAGAAGGCCCCAGGGCAGGGGCTCTGCTCACGACCATGACACACGCAGCAACCAGGAACTCAGAGTCCCCAGGCCACCGGTGCCACAGCCCTCCCTCTGGTTCTGTGGACTCCAGGCCCACGTCAGGCCCTGGGATTCCGAGGCCAGTTCTCGTCCGGCTCTGAGTGCCCAGGGAGCCTGGCCTCGGGACCCGCCGCTGCTGCCCAGCACAGGGTCACAGGAAGGGCCCCAAGAGGCAGTGTCTCCGAGGTTGGGGCAAGATGAAGGCAAAGCTAGTGGGGAAGATGGAGAGAAGCTGACACTCAGAAGCTGGAAGCTTCCCGCAGGACAGGGTGAGCAGGGTGGTGTGGGAAGGCTGCAGTGAGCGTGCACGCCCCAGAGCCCGGCCCCTGCACCAGCACCTGCTCCAGCTGGGGACTGGGACTGGCGTCCGCCCGGGTCCCGGGGCGCCCCAGGGGCTGCCGCACCTGCGTCTTCCCTCTCCACTGCCCTGGTTACCGAGGTGCTTGTCCAGGTACTGATTCAGGTGGCAGAGGGTTGTGGCCCAGGGCTATAGAATGTTCTGCAAACTTCCTTCTCCAGTTATGTTTCAGCGGCTCTCGCTGGCTCAGCCTTAACTACCTTCCTCTGTGCTCACCTTGGAAGGGTACTTGCAGCAGCTCCCCAGGCCATTGGCATGCAAAGCACCCTGAAGTTCTGGGGGGTCTGTGGGGTCCTGGGTGGCACTGGGTTCCAGGGACAAGTCCACCCGAGCGGGCACTTGTAATCAATCCATCATAGTAAGTGTGGCTGTTTCTTGCTGCCCACCCTGTGTGCCCTCTGCACTGACAGCCACGTGTCTGCCCTTGTGGGCCCTGGGAGGCAGGGGTGGGGGCAGCTAGTGGCCTTGGACCCTGGGCCTGCAGCACCAGTGCATTTCCCTTTCCTGAATCGAGTGGCCACGTGACCATATATTTGCTCAGCCGTAGATGCTTCTCATGCACAGGGGCCATTGACAGGAAGCAGAAGGTTCTGAAAGGGTCATAGGAAGCATTCTGATGAGCTGGAGGCACGGGCCTGAGGCTCAGGGCTGGTCACAGTGGGAAGGATGAAGCTTTCCTGTCCACTCCTGCCATAGCCTTCTGTGTTCCCAGACAGGCCATCCTCAAGATCAAGGAGTCCGTGTCTGGGCCGCCGAGTCCAGCCAGACTTCCTTGTTCTGTGTCCCCAGCCGCTGGAGAGGAAGTATCTCTGCCTGCCCAGCTGGCATTGCCTCCAGCTCAGGGACGGGGCCGCGGGGGCCTCTGGGGCTCAGGGAGGAAGCAGACGGCGCCTTGCCCCCACAAGCTCAGAGCAGGCTGCCGGTTGGATGCCCATGGGCCTTTCTTGGCTTCCCGGGCTCCTAAGGAGGCCCCGGGGCAGCACTGTATTCTAGGTGCCCGCCAGCCTCCCAGCATGAGTCAGCCTCAGCTGGCCTTCCCGTTTCCAACCGGACTTCTCAGCCAGCGGGCAAACACAGCCAGGCTCTCGGGGTCACCAGTGAGGTGGGCCTGCTGGACGCACAGTCCACTCGATGCAGGTGGCCCTCCACCGCTCTGACCACAGAAAGGAATAAAGCTGCATCGCAAGGGCGGCTTTGGACCGTGGCTGTCTGTGGGGCATTGAAAGTTTTGCTCCCATGCCCACGTTCTCCTGGTGCGCCCAGGCAGCACGCACACACGCTTGCAGGGGTGTGGGGACACCATGGCACCGTGGGCTCCCCCGGAATGGGGCACCCGGGGGCCGTGGCGATCGTGCCCCCAGGTGGTCTGCGGGCTGCCGCCGGCTGGTCCAGGCCAGCTGCCCTGACTCTGATGGGCAGTTTGGACTGTTTGCTCTGTGCCTCCCCAGTAAGGCCAGTGGGACTGTTTGCTCAGAAGGAGCAGTGTTCCCAAGATGTCCGCTGCCCCTGGGCTGGAAAGCTGGGGCGGGAGGGAGGACCGTGTGAGTGCTCACAGGGCACCTGCTGTCAAGCCCCAGGGGTGAGGTCGCGGAGACACTGGGGATGTCACCTTCAGGTTTGGAACCCCAGAGGGGAGGGGTGCCTGAGCCTGCAGTGGTCTGCCCGCCAGGGGCTCCGTGTCCTGGGTCGGGGGTCACTGGTCCGGTGCCACCTGCGGGCTCATCAGCCTCGCGGATGCCTGCCCCTGCCTCCGCCCCGTGGGTCTTCAGTTCTGGAAAGAAAACTAGCGTCTGGGGCCCCCCCAGGGCCCAGAGGGACAGTCGCTGAGCTGCCCAGGACCCCACCTCCCAAGCAGGGGAAACCATCCAGACCTCGCGTCTGGGCTGCTGCCCCCGTCGTCCCGACTCCTGAACCGCTCCAGTAACATTTTAGGAACCGAAGTGGGGGTGGGGGCGTGATGACAAGGGTCACGGGGCAGTTTCCGAGTGGAGCACCCCCGTCCCCCCCGGGCCTCTGCCAAAGCAGGTCTAGTGTCTGGCTTCTGGAATTACACAAGTGGAATATTTTTAGCACGGGACCTGATTTCCCACTGGCTCTGGTATACAGAAGCCGGTGGCCACAGAAGGGCGCCCTGGAGTCCCGTGCGCCCCACCCCTCCAGCATCCAGAGGCCCAGCTTGAAGTCCGTGGTCCAGAGCATCCTCTCTTCTGCACACCTGGGGAAACCAGCCCAGGGAAGGGACGGGGTTCCCTGTGTCGTGCCAGGGCCCAGACGGAGACTTCCCTACTGTCCCACACCACACGCCCCATGTGGAGCTGGATGGCACTTTGGAACTGGAATCCCCAAGCCCCAGAGGGAGCCCTGGCCTACAGACAGGGGTTTGTCAGGGCCAGAGGCTGGGCTGCTGGAAGTCGGACTCGTTCACCCCCAAACCCCCGAGTGATAGTGTCGAACCTCAAATCAGCCGTCTCTGCTGGTAGGACCGCAGGACCCCTCAGCCTCTCGGGGGCAGTGGCTCCTTGGCTGTGGGGGGCCCACCGTGGGGCCACTCAGCAGGCTGGGGACACGGGAGGGCTGCCTCCTCCCTGCCTGTGGAAAAGTCCCCTGTGGTTTGTGGATGGGGAGCGGACCCACGTGGGAACACGGGCCGGAGGAGGTGGACACGGTGGCCTCGCCTCTCTCCCTCCTGGTCACAATGGCTCCTTGTTGGGACATTGGAAACTTGCTAGTCACTCTGCTGTTTACTCACCCATGAAGGAGGCAATGTCATGGGCTCGAGCCCTTCTTCACTAAGGAAACGGAGGCTGAAGAGGCTGGGCCTCTCGTTCTGTGTCCACACACCCACCCGTAGCTGAGCACGTGGAGGGCAGGTACAGAGCCACGCTGCCCTGCGCAGCCCCCGGGACAGCTCCTGTGGCCGGCGGTGCCTCCTGCTGGGAGGACCACAGCCCTGGCTCCGCCCGGCGAGGTGGGCCCTGCTCCCGGTCGGGGCGTCTGCGGTAACTGGCCCATCTCCTCACAGCCGCCGACGGGGTGCCTGGTGTGTGTCCCGCTCGGGAGGGGGCCCCGCGCAGGCAGGGCCCCTGAGCTCCCTGCGGGCCTGCTGCGGGGCCCCCGCGGTCTCTGACCACCTGCCCCCCGCTCTCATACCCCGCTCCCTGCGCCGGACACCACAGGTCACCAGCGGCGCCCCTCCCCCCCGGCCTCCCGGCCTCACAGCCGGCGCCCACGGCCCCCTGTCTCTCATTGTTTACAAGTAAGCTTTGTCTCTGGGGACAGTTCCTGGCTCACAGCCGCGTGAAGGGAGTCTGGGGTCCCCTCGCCCCCCACATCTGTCCGCGTCCCGCCCTTGTCCCACCTGCGAATCCACGTCCACACAGAACTACGAACAGAAGCCGAGCTTGTTCAGATTTCTGCCGTTTGTTTGGACCCCGGGGCCCCACCCTGGGCCCACAGCGGGGGCGCCCTCCCCTGGCGGTGGCAGTTTCTCACTTCCCTTGGCCTCGGGCCGTTGGGAAGCACAGCCAGGGGTCTCCAGGACCGTCCCCTCCAGACACCTGTCTGGCGACTTCCTCAGCAGCCAGGGCTGCCTCACCTCTGCCTGGGTTTCTGGAAGGGCCCACCACCCCCGCGGCACTGTGTCCCCTTGCTGGCCGCCCCCTTCTGCTGGGCGGACGCCGCTTTCCTGGGGGGCTTCGGGGGCCCGCTGTCCTGCTCCTGCCCTGTGGCGCCCCACCCCCACCGTGAGAGCCCCCCCGTTCGGCCTCAGCCAGGGCCCCCCGGGCGGGTCCTAAGCCGTCTGCTCCCTCCCAGCTGCCTTCCTGGGCCCCCTGGCCTTGGGGGCAGTGGGGGGCACGGATCCGGGCTGCCGGGCCTGGCCAAGCGCCCCCCAGCTGTGCGTTGTCTCGCCTGCCCTGCTGCCCCGCCCCCGCCGCGGTGAGCGGCTCGTCCCTAGTACCTGCCTGTGCCCCGCGCCAACAGACAGGGCCTTTAGGTGCTCGAGAGGCGGCCACACTGCCCCTCCTGGACCTGACTCAGCCCCTCCTGTCCCGCAGGCCCGAGTGCCAGGCATGGACGGGGACGCTGCTGCTGGGCACGTGCCTGCTGTACTGCGCCCGCGTCAGCGCGCCCGTGTGTGCCGTGTCCATGAGCCAGGACTTTGGCTGGAACAAGAAGGAAGCTGGCGTCGTGCTCAGCAGCTTCTTCTGGGGCTACTGCCTGACTCAGGTGGTGGGCGGACACCTGGGGGACCGGTAACCACCCCATCCCCGTGCGAGGCTGGGCTGCCCGGGGTGGGGGGGGCTCCTGAAGAATGAATGTGGGTTCAGGCCTGGCACGGAGTAAGGCGTCAGCTGGGGGAACCGAGGTGCATGGCAGAGGTGGTGGTGGGGCAGGCGCACGGCTCCCCTTGGGGTGCTTACCTGGGGGGCAGCTTGCTGGGGACAGAGAGACAGGACGGGCCTGCGCCCTCACCCTCCGCCCCTTCTGCAGAGGAGGGCGAGGCAGCAGCGCCCAGCCTGGCAGCCGCTCAGAGCCGGGCGTGGAGCAGGCACCAGCCTGGGTCCTGCAGCGGGACCCCGTCTCCCTGCCCGCCACGCGTCACTGTCCTCTTGACCTCCCGCAGGATCGGGGGTGACAAGGTCATCCTGCTGTCCGCCTCCGCCTGGGGCTGCATCACCGCCGCAACCCCGCTGCTCGCCCGCCTCGGCAGCGCCCACCTGCTCTTCATGACCTTCTCGCGCATCCTCACGGGCTTGCTCCAAGGTACGGCCGTCTCGTGGCTCCCCTCCGCGGCCCCAGCCTCGCTAGAGCAAAGCGAGTGCCCATGTGCGATATGCGCGTGCATGCATGTGCGTGTGGACATGTGGACATGTGGATGTGTCCCTGCGAGTGGGCACATGTGTGTGCACACACGTATACTCAAGCGTGCTCCCGCATGCGGTGTGCCTTAAATCAGAGGAGGTCCCTGGGGCCTCCCGCATGGTGGGCAGGGAGCCGCAAGGACCGGCCCCCCGCAGCCCCCAGCTCTTGGCTGCGCTTCCTTGCGGGGGCCGGTTGGTTATACCACACAACACCTTGCGCTGAAGCACTGTCTATGTTCTAGAAACACTTCAAAGTCTGGCATGTTCTGATGTCAGATGCCCTCCTCTGCCAAAAAGTCTACTCCAGGGACGTGGGTGGCGGCCTGCTTGCCACACGGTGATGGCTAGTGCCCCTGGGTGCAGGCGCAGTGGGGACGTGCTGAGCTCCTGCGTGCTGCTGCGCAGAGGCTGCCCCTGGCCGCAGCCTCCAGGACCCACGTCTGGACGTGGCCTCTCGCTACTTCCTGGCCAGCCCCACCGGTCTGCCCTGCACCCCCCCGCCGGGCAGTCTGGCTCCTGAGCTCCCATGAATTCACCCCAGTGCTGCACATGTGGCCTGTGGCTGGTCCCGTGGCTGGGGCCAGGTGGCCCTCAGTCAGGCCGTTTCCCCATCTGGCGGGGAGCTGGGAGGCTAGTCTGTGGCCCGTTATGAGGGCTCGAGGGGCAGCCATCAGCCTGGGTGACTGGGGTAGGTGTGGGCTGGGGGCCAGGCCCCAATGGGAAGGCCGAGCCCTGTCTCACCCTCTCTTAACTTTTCCTTGACTCTGAGAGAAGAGCACAGCACAACAGGCGAGAGCCGCCATCCCTTTTTGAAAAATTAGGTTTTGCAATAATTGTAGATTCACAGGAAGTTGCAAGGAAACAGAGAGAGGTCCCAAGGTCCCTCCCACCTTCCTGCGGTGACACCCCATGTGGCTGCAGGACAGTGACACACCAGGCACTGTGGCGCCATGGGCCTGCTTGGGTCTCGCTGGCGGTACGTGCACCATGTGTGCGAACGTGTGCGCAAGCGTGCCAGCAAGTGTGCATGTGCGAGCATTGTGAGCATGTGTAAGCATGTGTGTGTGCGAGCGTGCATGTGCGCCAGTGTGTGGGTGTGCATGTGCGAGCATGTGAGCGTGCGTGTACGTGTGTGTGCAAGCATTGTGAGCATGCATGCACAAGTGTGTGCATATCCGTGTGTAGGTGTGTGTGCGAGCCTTGTGAGCGTGGGTGAGCATGTGTGTGCACACCAGGACTCGAGCTGCTGTGGCAGGAGTCCCAGCTCAGACCCGGTTGTCCCCACAGCCGCCCTATGGCACGACCCTGAGCACACCTGTCCCCCAGCCGAGAGTCTTCAGCTGACAGGTGCTCAGAGCCCAGGCCTGCTGGCGCCCGGAGCCTCCCAGAGCTGCTCCCAGTCTGGCCCCCACCCTGGCCCCAGCTCTCTGCTTGTTTAGGGGTCTACTTCCCGGCGCTGACCAGCCTGCTGTCCCAGAAGGTGCGAGAGAGCGAACGAGCCTTCACCTACAGTGCTGTGGGGGCCGGCTCCCAATGTGGGTAAGTCCAGGCCCTGGGCGCCCAGGGCACAGAGGGTGTGGGCCCGGATGGGGACAGGCCACGTGGGCACGCTGGCAGCTCCGGGTGACGAGCGCCGGTGCTTCTGTGCTGCGGGGGGCCCCTGTGCATGTTCGTCCCCAGGGCAGGCGGTGCGGCTGAGGCTCTGGCTCCTGGGACACGGAGTTCCCTCTCATCAGTGCTGGGGGAGACTGAGGGGTGCCGTCCCGATGGGGGAGGCGACCTGTGCTGCCCTGGGTGGGGGTGACACGGTCCAGACATGAAAGCTGTGTCCCCGCGCTCCGGCGTGGAGGCCGCGCTCTGGGGAAGGGACGCGCTGCTGTCCTGAGGGGCTCCGCCACCTGGGGCTCAGGTCCCTCACTTCCCTGTTGCCAGAAGCAGGTAAGAGATGAGGGGCAGGAGCAGCCCGGGTAGCAGCTCGAGTGCCCGGGGGAACAGGCCTTCTGGATCCGCCGTGTGGGACGGACCCCCGCACAGGGAAGGGTGTGCAATTTTTCTGAAATCCTGCTCCACCTGGGCGTCCGGGGCCTGTGTCTCCGGCTGAGAGGCACGGGAGCCAGTCTGCCCACTGCACAGGTGGGGAAATGGAGGCTCCATGGGGAAGGCACCAGCCCCCAGGCCTGCTGGCCCACTGTTTTCTCCTTTAACGTCTCCGTCACCGGCTGAGGCTCGGCAGGGGCCAGGCCAGGCCTGCAGGGAGGATCCCCAGGACGTCGGGCTCTGTGCTTGCTTCTCCAGCTTTTGCATTTAGACATCTTGGAGGCCAACTTGCAGGCCTGGGAGCAAGAAATTAAAGCAGCAGAGGGCCCCCATGCCCTGTCACGGCTGCACGGCTGTGCCCAGGCATCCGGAAGTCCCCCTGAATGCTCCGAACGCTTCACAAAATATGCTCCGACCAAGGCAGCTGCTTTCCTGGCAATGAGCTCCGTCTGGGTCATGCTCAGAGGTGCCGCCTTGCCCGAGTGAAGCCCAGGGTCACGGCTGCGCTGCTGTCTGTCTTCCAGGACGCTGGTGACGGGGGCCGTGGGCTCCCTGCTCCTGGACTGGTACGGCTGGCCAAGCGTCTTCTACTTCTCTGGCGGGCTCACCCTGCTGTGGGTGTGTTACGTGTACAGGTACCTGCTGAGTGAAAAAGGTAACCGCGGCCGGGTGGGCGATTGCCGGCAAATGCGGCCGCCCAGGGAGGGGCGAGGGCCTGGCGCCCGGCCCTGCTAGCGGCTACTAAACATCCACCCAACTAACCCTCGGAGCAGCGCCCGCTCAGCGGGGCCCTGAGCTGTGGCTCAGCCCCATCTGGAAAAGCATCCTCTAGACTACAGCCTGAGGAAAATGCCAGTTCTCGGGCCGGCTATGCCCGGTTCAGACCTGAGAGCTGTGCCCAAGGAAGAAGCGAGTATGCAGGGACAGGTGCCCGTCGGGCACGGTCTAAAGATGGCAGGAAGCGGGGCTTGGGGGACCCGAGGGCGGGAGAAGGACTGAGGAAGTCTGTTCAAATCCCTCCAACGCTGGCAGCCCGGGTGCGGGCAGGGACGGTGCGGCGGTGCCGGGGCAGCCGGGCGGGCCGCAGGGCTGTGGGGGCACTGGCCCCGGGAGCTGCCCCCCAGGAGCCGGTCTGCGGTGAGTAGACGCTGTCCCCCGACTCTGAGTAGCTTTCATGTGGGAACTGCCCGCCCCCTCAGATCTCCTCCCGGCCGTGGGTGTCCTGGCGCGAGGCCTGCGGGTGCCCAGGCGCACCAGAGTTCCCTGGAGACAGCTCTTCCGGAAGCCCTCTGTCTGGTGAGCAGCCACCTTGGGGCCGCAGCTGGGGTGGGGCGGCACGGGGTCGAGCCCGGAGGATCTGGGGAGCTCCCTGAGCCTACACGGGTGTGGGTCCACCCCTGGCTTCTGGGCTCCATGCCCTCAGGCCCTGGGGCGCGGGGCTGGGGCGCGTGGACCCAGAGCCCGGTCCCCCTCCGCCCCCGCAGGGCCGCAGTCTCCTCCCAGCTGTCATCTGCCTGCGCCTTCTTCATCCTCCTCTCCTGGCTGCCCACCTTCTTTAAGGAGACGTTCCCCAGCTCCAAGGTGGGTGGGCTGCCCTGGCGCTTGTGGGGTATGGGAGACACGGTGTTGCTTCTGGCCCCCCTCGGGCTGTCGGCCTTGTGATGACCTCACCCCCGCTCAGGGTAGACTCCTCTGGTCTGGTGCACGCCCGCTCCCAGGATGGACCAGTGCGGCTGCCCCTGCAGAGCCCTGCCCTAGGGCGCAGTGGACCGTCTGTGCATGGTCATTACCAGAGCGAGCCAAGTGGGGGTGTGACCTGCCAGTCAGCCTCGCTCACTCCACCCCGCCGTCCAGCCACCCTCCCCGTCTGGTGACCAGGACCCCACGCACCTCCGCATGGTGGGCCTGTGTCCCGCCTGCTGGGCCCTGTCACGGTGCGGGGGCCATGAGGGAGACTCAGCCTGCAGGGAGGTGGCACTAGCGGCCCTGGAGCTCGGCCAGGTGGGGGGAGGTCAGGGTCAGGGAGGCCCTGGAGCCTGGGAGCCCAGCCTGTGGGTGGGGAGAGACTTACTGGGCATCAGGGGACATGGGTGACCACCGGCCTGTGCAACCTCTCCCGGGTGGCCAGGTGTCTCCCCTCTGAGGCCTCCCTCTTCCCTGCAGGGCTGGGTCTTCAACGTGGTGCCCTGGCTGGTGGCCATCCCTGCCAGCCTGTTCAGCGGGTTCCTCTCTGACCATCTCATCAATCAGGGTGAGCCCTGGGGGAGGGGCCGCCAGGAGCCAACCCAGCCTTGCCGCACTGTGGGGGACGGTCCCCCCTACAGGGGGTGCTACGGTGATTGGAGGGGGCCTCATGCCCCCGGACCTCGCTTCGAGAGTGAGGCCCCGACCACCACAGCCTCAGTTTCCCCCAGGGGGTGGGGCACAGGGAGAGGACCCGAGTCCTGTGGGGACCATGGAGCTCCTCCTTGGTCTTCAGAGGGGTCAGCGGTTGTAGGTCAGGGGGGGCTGTGTGTGCGAGCCCAGGACCCCAGCAAACACGCCTGAGGACGAGGATCTCACAGACACGCACACTGCACATGCACGCACACGCATTCTTAGATGTTAGTCCTTCCCTAGTTACGGATGCTGCACACTCATCGTGGGAAAAGTAGAGACTTTGGAGAAACATGGAGAAACATGGAGAAACACGTGTGTAACCATCCCAGTGGCCTTCCTTCTGTGTGTGTGCTTGAGGAGAATCCTCTAGATGCACACCCAGGGCAGGGCAAACATGCTCACACACACACATGCTCACATGCACTTGCACCTGTGTGCACGCACACCCAGCACGCAGGACACCCAGACAGGGCACATGCACTCACACACACTTGCACATGCACCCTCCCACTTGCACACGTGTGCATGCACACCCAGCACACAGGATGCCCAGTGCAGACATGTGGGCTCACACGCATTTGCACACGTCTCACGCACGACCCGGGACACCCCCTCCTTGAGCCCAGGGCCTGTCCCTCCCCTCCCCGCTCCCTCTCTGCAACCGTGAGGGCTGGGACCCCACACGGGTGCTGCCGGAGCTCAGCGCAAACGGGCCAACGGGAACCTCTCCCCTCTGCTCAGGTTACAGAACCATCACTGTGCGGAAGTTCATGCAGGTAGGGAGGGGGAATGCTCTCTGGACACCCCTGTTTTTTTCCTGGGACTTGAGTGTTGTGAGCCCCAGTCTCCTGACCCAGAAAACATTCGGAGGTGCCCTGGGTCCGTGCTGGGGGCCGGTTTGGCTGACCTGAGGGCCTCCTCGCCGCTGTGCCCGTCAGGCCCCGGCACACATCTCTGGGCCTGGGCCGCTCCCATTCCCCTTGGGTCCAAGAGGCGGGGCTCTCATGCCCTCCTGGGCAGGCCGGGAGGGGCTTTCCCCACTGACTTTGCTCAGTGCGCGCCAGGTGGCCCGGGAGTGGCCCCGTCGACCAGCTCCAGCCCTCTCTCCCGCAGGTCATGGGCCTTGGCCTGTCCAGTGTGTTTGCCCTGTGTTTGGGTCACACCTCGAGCTTCTGTAAATCTGTGGTGTTCGCATCAGCCTCCATTGGCCTGCAGACCTTCAACCACAGGTGAGGGCCGGGCGCCCCACCCACCAGCGGCCACCCTGGCATGATGGGTGCGCCCTGGCGTGGCTGAGTGCCCTGCTGTGGTGGGCAGGGCTTGGCTGGGCGGGTTCCGAGGGCCCACATGGCAGTTTCTAGCCCTCGGGTGCTCAGAGGACCAGCCCCCGACTCCATGGGGTGGAGGCCGCCCTGCGGTCCCCTTCCCACCTCCCCTTCTCTCTCCCACAGCGGCATTTCCGTCAACATCCAGGACCTGGCGCCGTCCTGTGCCGGCTTCCTGTTCGGTGAGCGCTGCTCGCCCTGGTTGAGCAGGAAGGGGCTGCCCCCAGCCAGGCGTTGCTTGCCCCAGCCTCTCCCCGCTCCGGGCCCCCAGGGGCTCCCCCGGCCGAGGGCCTCCCGTGACCCATCCTCCTTCTTGCTCTGTCTCACTCACAGGTGTGGCCAACACAGCGGGGGCCTTGGCAGGTGAGAGGCGGCTGGCGTGTCTCCTGGCTGCCCGGCCCCTGAGCCTTCCCTCTTCTCCAGCCCCGTAGCCCTGCGGGGGGGTGGGGGGCACGGCGCCACCCAGGGTCCCACAGTGTCAGAGCAGCGGTGGCGGGGAGAGGCGGGCCCCGGCGCTGGCCTGGGGGGGAGACAGCCGCTTCCCACAGTGCTCACTCTTCTGCTGGCGGGCGCCCCAGCCCCCACGTGACCCGCAGACGTGAGTCGAATCCTCAGGGTCCGGGTTTCCAGGGGTTGAGCGGCTGGATGATGACGCCGGGGCTCGCTCCCCACGGAGGACCTGTGAGTGGCCATTTCCTGGCCGGCCCGTGAGGTCTCTGGCCCTCTGAGGCCCTCTGAGGCCAGCCCTCCCTGGGCCCGGCGGCTTGGACACCTGAGTTCGGCTTCTGTCCCTCAGGCCCCCTGGGCCCCCCCAGCACCGCCCCCTCCTGGCAGCCCAGCCCCAGTCCCTGCCCCGGGCCCCCCAGGACCGCCCTGCCCGCCCCTGTCTGTGCAGGTGTTGTTGGCGTGTGCCTGGGAGGCTACCTCATCGAGACCACGGGCTCCTGGACGTCCATGTTCAACCTGGTGGCTGCCATCAGCGGCCTGGGGCTGTGCACGTTTCTGCTGTTTGGAGAGGCCCAGCGGGTGGACCTGAGCCCCACCCACGAGGACCTCTAGCTGTGCGGCTTGGCGGCTCCCCGAGGACCCAGTGCCGCCCGCCTCGGGGCGACAGGCTCTGTTGAAGGGCCTCCCGCTCCTGGGTGTGTGAGCAGAGGGGGCCGCGCCCCAGCAGAGCCTGGGCAAGCCTGGGCGGGCCTCAGGTTCTCCACCTGCCAGAGAGGTGATCGTGCCCTCCCCTCAGGGTGCGTGGGCTGGCAGGGGTGAGTGCGGTCGGTATTTTTAGTCGCTGCTGCGTTATTACAGTCTGCTCCCCGTAGGTCCTCGTGCCCACATGGTCACTGAGAGGGAGTGCTGCCTGTCATCGCAGGGGTGCGGGCACCACGCAATTGGACTGTTCCCCTCAGACCTGCTCTGCTTTGCTTCTTGGCCCTTGGAGCCAGGTCATTCTTCCTGGGGGGGGGTGCTGTCCTGTGCACTGTGGGGTGTTTAGCAGCTGGCCCCCACCTACTAGGTGACCCCCCAGTCGTGACAACCAGGCTTCACCCTGTGTCCTCAGGGACCGTGTCCTGGGCCATAATGGCGGCTCTGATGGAGTCTGTTGGGGTTTTGGACTAGATGCCCTTGCCCATCTTTGGGGCCCCCCCGGCACCCCCTGTGGGTCCCTCTCTGCCACGGAGGGTTCTGGGGACCAGGGAGCCCTCCCACCTTGTCCTTCTCTCTCTCATAATGAGGAACTGGTCGTCTCATGAGTTTGTAGTAGATTTTGCAAGATGTATATGTAGAAAAACTAAGAATGTGGAGAGATCACACCAGACTTATTTAAATGATGGCTATTAAACTGGGAAAGGAAGACTGATTATATTAACCTCCTTTATTTATTTATTCTAAAGTTTTTTATTCATTTTGAGAGAGAGTTTCCCAGTGAGCAGGGGAGGGGCGGAGAGGTGGGGGAGAGAGAATCACAAGCACGGTCTGTGCCGTCAACACAGAGCCTGATGTGAGGCTTGATCCCACGAACTGTGAGATCATGACCTGAACCTAAATCAAGAGTTGGACACTCAACCGACTGAGCCCCCCAGGCCCCCAATCTTCCTTTTTAAAGAAGAATAAACAGGTGTTAAAGCCTTGTTGAGCTCACCCCCGAGGAAGCCAGCAGAGTGTTACAGATGACGGTCAGGGGCGGCCCGCGAGCAGACACGTTTGCAGGAGCGAAGGTGGAGGCGGATGTGCAGGGACCGCGATGGAGGAGGTGGAAATGCGCTGGGCATGTTAACTTACCACAAAGGCCTTCACGTTTGCCCTGCTGGAGGCTTTCCCCGAGCGAGCCCCGGTGCAGGAGGCGCCCCCCGCGGCGGGCGCCCCCAGCACCGAACACGGTGAAGTTCCCGGGACGTCGAAGCCGAGGTCTGCCCTCGCGACCGCCGCCAGCGTGCAGCACAGGATGTTCGCGCGTTCACACTGCCGCGCGGCGGCCCCCGCCCACCATTTCCAGACTCTTTCACCTTCCCAGACGGGAAGTCTGTCTTCATTAAACAACACCCCACGCCCAGCCCCCGCGTCCACCATCCACGCCCTGTCCCTATGGGTGTGACGGCCCAGGTCCCTCACATAAGTGGAGTCAGGCAGTATTTGTCCTTCAGGGACTGGCTTATGTCGCTCAGCGTAGTGTCCTCACCCACGTTGTAGCCAGTGTCAGCGTGTCCTTCCTTTTTACGGTTGGGTAACAGCCCAGGGTGTGCAGGGACCACGGGTGCTCATCCACTCGTCGGGGTGGGGGGGGAGGCTCCTGCTTGTTTCTGCCTTTGGCTGTTGGGATAATGCCTTTGACACCTGTGTTTGTAACCCACAGCAAGCGGGGAGCTCTCCGGGAGTGTAAGCAGGGAGGTGGCCCTTGAGGGTCTGGGACCCTGAGTCCCTGAAGGAACACGGGATACAGGAGGCGATGGTGGGATTGCTCAGAAGGAAAGCCAATTTACACATGTGTGAACTGGGGCCCCTGGCCCCCCGGACACCATATCGAGTCCCACTCGGTCCCTCCGCCGAGTCGGAGAAGAGAGGCTGGCGACTGGGGGACAGAGCCGTGTGCCCAGCAGACAGGCCCGCCCCCATCCCCACCCCCCCGCCCCTGCGCGGCCGTTCCTGGTCTGGGATGCCATCCCAGGTGCGGGGGCGGGAGCCCTTCCCAAGGCCAGGGTTGAGCTCGGTCAGGGCTGCAGGGTCTGGGGGAAACGGCTGCTGGCAGGGAGGGTGCTGCTGGCAGAGGGCGTGCAGCCGGGTGGGAGCCCAGCCCTGTGTTATCTGCCGCTCGCAGGCTGGAATGTGACCCTACACTGTCGACACCAGGGCAGGCCCAGTGCTGACGGGCACCCAGGTCCGGCAGCCACAAGGGCGGAAGCAGCTGAGGCAGGAGCGCTGGGTTCAGCCGGCCTCCTGCACCACACACACAACCGCGCTTGGCGCTCCCTCGCTGGGGGTACCGTGTGCACCCCTGCGGCCCTGCCTGGAGGCACCTCCAAGGCCCAGGCTGCTGTCACCCACAGCTGGCCAACAGAGGGCGCCATCTGACAGGGCTGCGTCCGCCCATCCAGCCGCCTTTTGCAGCCGCAGGAGGGGCCGCGGGCGGGCGGGCTGCTCAGCACCCTGTCCTGGGCGCCCTCCTCTCGGCTCCGTTGGAGAAAACGAGTTGGAAGGATGTTCCAGGTGCAGGGGAGCCTGCGGCGAGGGCGGGCGAGGGCCGGGAGGAGGCTGGACAGGCAGCAGGACCCAGACCGTGGGAGGGCCTGGGGCGTGCTGCCGGTGACATGACACTGGGGTTTAACCAGCAACAGGGTGGGGGTGGTCCCCTCCGCCCCTTTGGGGGGCAGGGTCCTCACATCCACCCCTTTTGGGGAGCAGGGTCCTCCCCTCCATTCCTTCCCTGGAGGGGAGGCGGGGGCCTTGGGGCGGGGCTGTCCTCCACCTGAGCAAGCAGGCAGCAGGGGCTGTGGGGGCTCAGACCCTGGATGTCCCTTCAGGGGGGACGCAGGCTTCCCTGAGGTCCTGTCCGCAGACCCCCCTCCAGCCCTACGCAGGCTCCCGGGTACCCTCCCTTCAGCTCCCACCCACATGCGGTCACCACAAGTGACACTTTCCCCTCGTTTCTTTAAAGCAGGATCTTTAATGGCCATTTACAATTTGTAATGAACATGTTAAGGCCCCCACCTCTCTGGGCCGCCCTCCTGGGCCCTGCATTTCTGGTTTTGTCTTTTCACTCAGGACTGCAGCACCCTGGGGGTCCCCACTTGCCCCCTCGGGGACTCCTGGACACCCGTCCCCCTGGGTGGGTCGGACCTCACAAGCAGGGCGGATGTGCAGGGGCCACTGGCCATGCTCTGCCCGACTGTCTGCAGCGGGCCGTCCGTCCCCCTCTTCGGGCACCCGAGGGAGGAGAGATGAGCTACGTTGGCGTGCACTTGGACTGGGATTTATTTTATTATGTTTAATTGAAAAGCTTTGAGGTCGTGGCATGAATATTCAGCACGGTGGCTGCTGGCACGGGAGCTGGTGTCTGATTCTAGGACGCGCCCCAGCACGGGGCCTATGGTGGGGGGGGGGAGGTGGGGAAGCTATTAATTGAAATAGCTTCATTAATTAGTAATTAACAGCAGGGAAATGACTGTGTCACACGTCCTATTATCAGTGGATGCCCTTCATGTGTTATGGGGCCTTTAATTAAAGGACGTGCATTTTAATTAAAGGCAAGTGTGGCCCTTTGGCCTTCGGAATACAAAAGACACTCCCACCTTTGAGAGAAGCTGGCGGGGAGGCTGGTGCAGGCGGCAGGCCCGTCGCTGACCCCTTTGCCCTCCAGCCCCTTGTGGGGCAGTGGGCCCTGGCCGGTCCTCCTTGGAGTCTAGCTGACGCCCTTCCTGAGCCCGAAGTGGTGGCCATGTGGGGTAACAGGCCAGCAGCGTCATGCCCAGCAGCCCCGCTGTCTCTGAGCCCTGCGAGCAGGGACTGGAAGCCGGGAGAAGGCGCCTCGGGGTGGGTGCTGTCCCCGCACCCTCCGCCTGCCCTGGGCGCAGCCCCTCTGCCTGTCCTCAGTGGGCAGCGGGGAGGCCGGGGGCTCGCCGGAACCGTGCCTGGCAGCGGGGGCAAGTCGCTGGGCCTGTTCCGAACACCGTGAGCCGGGGTCCCGCCTGCAGCCACTGTGCTGTCGCTTGCAGAGACCTCAGGCTCCCATCGTGCCACCCCCCTCCTGCCAGCAAAGATGGAGAGAGCCAGCTGGAGACCCACACGCCTTTCCTGCTCTCCCTGTCTCCGTCCCTCTGTCCGCATCTCTGTCTCTGCCTCTGTCCCCCCGCGGGGTCCTATGCCCCTCACCCTGACCACCTACTAAAATGACTCTCGCCAAGGTCGGTGAGACAGCTGACCTGACCCCGGGGCTCCTCTGCCGTCTCTGAGCCCAGGCCCGTGTGCCTCCAGCCCTCACACCTGGTGCCCGTGGTCACTGGGATGCGGCTGCCCTCTGCCCGGCCTGTGTTTTCCACTGCAGACCTTGGCCTGGCCTGTCTCTGCCTGGATCACCCCACCCCCCCATCCAACACACACACACGTGTCCACACAGACACACACGTGTCCACACATGCACACACATCCATGCAGACACTCGTGTGCACATGCTGGCACACAGTGTACATGTGCACGCACACATGTCCATGCACATGTGTGCGCGCGCACACAGGCACACATACACACGTGTCCATGCACACGCATGCACACACAGGCACACACGGTGCTGCTGTGGCAGAGGCTCCCCAGTAGACAGGGTCTCGGAGGGCAGGGCTCATGAACAGTGCTCCTTCGTGCCCCCAGCCTGGGGCCTGGCCTCAGTGGCCCTTGCGGGAGGGCACTGTGTAACCTGTGCCCTCTGCTCTGCCTGGCAGAGATACGCGGCCCAAGAGGCCCTGGGACACTGGGGCAGGGGTCCCGCGTCTGCTGCCTTGGCATCAATCGGGCAGCTTGGCGCCCGCCTCGGGGGGAGGCAGCCTCAGGGGAGGGAGGCCCTTCTGCCTCGAGAAGTCGATCTGCTATTTTAAAAGCAGGCCCCCAAATCCTTTCCTCTGAGCACCCTGAATCTGGGTAGGTTCTAAGACCAGAAGGTGATTTCTGGACTAGGTCGCGGAAGGCCCCCCTGGGGCACTGGGCCTGTGGCCCTGCTATGCTGTGAGGAAGACACGGGAGGCCCCTGGTGTGCACGAGGAGCCCCCGCAGAATGGCCTAGATGAGCCCCTTGCAGTGCCCCAGCCACAGCGGCTGCCGGAGGGAACGCAACAGATAGAAAGTAGCCTGGATCTCGGGTGGCGGGTTAGGTCTCCCTGAGGAGGGAGTGGGGGGTGTGCCCGTTCAGGTGGGTGCTGGGGGGCCCAGAGGCATTTGAGCTGTGGGTCCGGCTTATAGGGGGAGCGGAGCTTGCTCTCTCGGGGAGAAGGCGGGGGTCCTGGGGGTTTCAGGGCGTCCAGCTCTGGTCCCCAGCCACCCTTTGGCTGTCCAGTCTTCGCTCACGATCGCTGTTCAGGGAGAATTTGACCGATGCCCACGTGCTCCTGCTCACAAAAGCAATGCCTGCCTTTTCAGGTGGGCAGAGGACTCGGGAGCTGCTTTAGGAAGGAGCCGGGAAGGTGCCTGCGCCAAGAACAGACCAAAGGAGATGCCACTGAAGATGCCAGGGGCACGGGACACGAAGAGCGCTGTGTCCAGTTAAATCATTCAACGCCGTAGCATTAACTGCCATCTTGCAGACCTGTGAGTGGTTTTCCCTCTTCCTCTGGCTCAGAGAGCCTTCAGGCGCTCGGGCGGGGATGGATCTTCCCATC